ATTATACAACTCTCTTAGATTCATATTTAATATTTAATATGCAGGTAATCTATAGACGTACGCGTTAGACCAATCATTTTGTATAAGAGTATATCTATAGATTACTTGTGTATTAATGTTTTTTCTTTTTTTTTCCCCCAGATTTCACTTGGTCAATAATCTGTAGTTAAATATGTATTTTTTCCTTTCCTTTTCCCTTTTTTTTTAAAATCATATCGGCGAGAATTTTCTTGCTCGAATGAAAACACGAAAAGGAAAGGAAAATATAATGATCGCAAAATCGATTTATTGTTACATAACCGCGTCGTGAGGTTAGGTTAGGTTAGGTTTGCCGTGATAGCGAGAAATCCAGCGATTTTGCGATTTCGAGAGGTGGGGAAAAACCGAGCTGACACTCACCGGCGTAAAACGGCCTGCTATTGAGATAATTGTTGAGCGACGGAACGGAGAAGCCGAATCCCATGCATACTACTTCCGCCGTGTACTGGGTCACGCCAGGATCGTAAGTGGGATCTGGCTTGAGCAGATCCAGAGCCCACTGGACCTCCGGATGTTCGCTTATCTCGTGCGAATGATGTTTACTCATTTTTTTCCCTTCCTTTTTTTTTGCGACGAGAACTTTTGGGAGCGCGGTGCTCCGCTTACGACGAGCCGTGAACCGGTAGCGAGCGAAAATTTACGGAAATTACAATGGCCGATTGATACGCGCAAGTTTCGCTGATCGCAGCGACAGCTGTTGAAAAATGTGATAGGTAGCGTCACCTGACGGCGCGCGGTTCCATTACCTTACCTATTGATAATTGAAAATGATCGATATTATCACTCAATGATTATTATTAAATTAGCATCAATATCTTGGGCTAATTATATATATAATTTATAATTAATATATAATATAAATACATAATACGTAATAATAACGACAGAGTCCCGGAGGTGATTGAAAAGAATCAACATCATCGACTGATTGATATCAATCTTTTGATATCCTTTTGATCGCCGTCATAAATATTTGAACAATTATAATGCAATATTAAATTTGATGTTTTATTACATACAGATGCTTCACAAATAAGTATGCAATAATATCGTATATATTATCACAAAACTATACATTTTTGTCTACAATTATCAGTTCATTAGATAATCAAACAAAACAATGAAAATGGTTTTAAATAAATATAGGATATTTTAGAATCGTAAACATGTGTGTCAGAAAGTCAGGATAATAATAAATCATAAAGTTAATGTTATATTATAAATTAAACATGCAAAGTTCCATTGCCGCTTTTTTAATAATAATTTGTTGATGGTATTATTTAATCTTCGTGAAAACCACCAGTAAGAAAGGAATTACCTCATTTTTTGATTGTACAATTATTAATTACATTTATTACGCAAACATCTGTTTTCACATACATTTCTCGTAGATTTTTGTCACCCGTCAGTGATACATTTATACACATTGAGTATGATATTCATACGTAATATATTACGTTCAGTCGTATTTGGTATAACACGTAATGAACAATGTTACTTTCATCGATTTCTTTTTAGCACCTTACATCGAAGATAGCCGATCTCTTTAAGAATTGTGTACGCGTGGCACAGATACTCCAAGTCCAATCGCCGCTTTTAGGATCACAACGACTGGCGTAGCTCATACGAATAAGCTGATGCGCTTCGCACAAAAATCTCAAGTGGAAAACAGTATTAAACTCTACATGTAATATATCTCTGTTATTTTTGTAACATGCTATAGTGAGAAGTGAGAATATAATCTAATTGTTTTTCGGATATATCTATAATCGTCGTGAGTATCGTCGTGAAAAGAGTACAGTATAGATCTCGAATATGGGGAAGTAGAAAAATATATTACAAGGAAGTGATTAGAAGATTGAGTTAAAAATCCCGGGCAAGAGCAAGTTTATATAGTTTATATAATATATAGTCCTGCCTGTTAAAGCTCTGTCGATTAGATTGAAAAATATCACACTCCTGTTATTCAATATACACATCTCTAATGCCGTAACTACACAGTAAAGCACAAAGATATATGAAATGTAAAACAATAGCAACATTTATAATACATAAATATTATCTTCATCTCTGTAACATTTTAATCTGACTTCTCTTTGTAAAAAGAAAACAAGCATTTTGTTAATGGAACTCGCGAATTTGAATCGCGAACAATATGGAAGCAGAAAATAATAATAACTATTAATGCAAATCTTATGAACAATCATCATCATATGGCACCGTATATGCATATCGTAAGCGTATCACAGCTTAAAATTAATAAATCAGCTTTTAAAACGTAACTTCGTCGATAATCATATGAATACATCACAAAATAATTGAGTATAACATGTAACACTTATTGAACAAACGCAAAATGCAAACAATATTCACAAGAGTCTCTCTTAAAATATGACGAAAAATAATTCGATTATTTTTTAATATACCCAATCATTTTTCTTAAAACATAGTTGGCTTTCGAGTATCACGATAGTTCTACTAAAGTCTCAAATCTAATAGAGCACATCTAAAAAACTTCTTTTTATAAATCTATCAGTAATATTAACCATCTGAATGAAATGTAAACTTACCAACCTTTCTAATTGTGTTATTTTGCTATCATTTTTTATTGACTCGCATCGTTATTATCAATGGCTCTATTGCAATACCATACAGATGCAGCAGACCTTAAAGAATAGATAATTACGATGTGCTGGATACATCATAATGCAAATATTAATACAAACCTTAAGTACGAGTGTGGCATCGTGGCAGCAGAATAGGATAGTGCCACTGCTACAAAAATACATCCCGTTCGTAATGGACATAACAATACTGCTACTGTACCATACTCTAGATACAAGGTATAGCCCAAAAGGAATTGAGTCACAATTAACGTTAAAACTGGTAAATATTGACAAACTATTTGGAATTTTGACCAGACTGCCGGGGGATATTCAGGATACTGTAATCTGAAATGCAGGCAATTAGTCTGAAGATTCATCTGTCGCCTTGATAATATCATCACTGCAACATTACAGACCTGCGATCAACGTGATACGCCAAAAATAATGTAAGGGGTATGTGGAAAATTATTAACTGAAAGAATCCGTAAGCGTAAGTTAAGCCACCTGGTAAATACATGTTTCCGATGAATGTTCCCCATACAAAGATCACGCCTGTGTGATTCTCAATTATCTCTCCTACGGTCCAGGGACCTTGAATTGATTCGTCAAATTAATTTAAAAAATTTACTCGATGTATTTATTTGTATGTACACACTTGTACGACGTATACACTTACCGATTGCACAATATAACGTGCTCAACACTAATCCAAAAAACAATCTATCAACGGCGGATAATACCCATAATCGCCTCAGAACCCGATGGAAGAACTTCAAGCGTCCCCGCGGTAATTCCATTCGTCTATCTAAATCACGAACAGTATAATAGCGTACATTTTATTATACAATCTAAAATAGGATACACATAAATTGTGCTTGTACTTACTCTTGTAACGCATATGAATAAATCGAAGGAAGCACAGCGGACCGATTGACACTGCCAATGTGACGAAGAACATGAACTGAAACTGTGAGAGACAATAACATTAAATTATTACATATATATCACTATGTAAAAATTTAATTAAATGTAGTGACAACTTGTCTTAACTTACGATGCCAACTATGTTAACCATCAGCAGTAACTTGGGAAGAACAGAAGTGGATAACCACGATCCGTCGAGAGAAAAAGAATGCCATACAATTTTTCTTCTATCTTCATCATCAACTACATGCACCTGAAATATAAAATAAAAAATTTTATTTGCGAAAACGGCATGTTTGCGGGTGTGTGCTTTAGGCTAGTACATAAATTAACTTTTATAAATATTTACTAAACTGTTATCTGATGAATACCCTCCTTGTATCTCGTTGAGTTCCATGGCAACACATAAAGAGGTCCGCGTACGTGATCACATTTTTGCCAGTCACCGTCGTCCAATTGAATTTTGACACTTTTCAGTGGAACCGTAGAAAATGCCAGTATTCTACAATAAGCAGCTTGCAAGTTGATTTTCATAAACCGAATAGATTCACAAATAATAATTACGAGGCGTCAATAAGAATATTCTTACCTGACATGTGTGGATTTGACGATAGATTCCAAATTTTCCTTTTGCGGCATCATAAATAATACGTTTTTTGGATTGGTGATTAATACCACAGGCCAATCACGATGCTTTACATCAATGAATGAAAATTGGCCATGATCTATTGCCGCGAGGCGATACCTAATAAGAGACGCGTGTCAGATAGGTGTCTAATATTTGTAAACCAAATTAGGCAAACCGATTGTGATAAATATTTACGGAGCATTATATGTGTCGATAAAACAAAAAAATATTTGTATTCGCTATTAGTTTCACGTGAGTTTTAAAACAGATGTAAATTTTATTTATATACCATCAATTGCTGCAACAAAACTAAAAATAACATACACTTTTCTCTATATCAAATTCATAAGAACTATTCTCATCGTCTGAACAGAGAAGAATCCTTTCAACGACTAATGCTTAAATACCAGTAACGCGTTATAGAATACAAAAGCAATGACTGAGCAACCGATGTCATTCTCGAATATGCGAAAGTATATTTGTCTTACATTCTATTCTCTTTCCAATCTGCCAATTCTAGCTCAAGGAAGCCTGCCTTTTGTAACGTGTACATGTTGGGTACCATATTGCCAAGCGTATGATAGTGGCCGCACAGATACACCATACTTTCTCTATGACTACCTTTTAATATACAACAGATTTAATATAATTGTAAAATCGCAATACGAACAAATTACTTGTAAGAGAAATATGTTGTATTTTTATACCTCTTACCTAAAATATTTCTGATATTCGTATCGGATTTCGATATTATGCTCGATGTAGGATAATGACCGAACACGACTGCATGATCGGCGTTGCTTTCTTTTGAAAAATTAATCAACTGTTGTATCCTATTAATCTCGTTTTGGTCTAAAACACCGATAAAGTTGAATGGCCTCTTGGGGCCTGGTTTCAAGCAGGCGTCAATCGCGATAAAGGAGAACCTTTCACGACCAGCTTTAACATTGTACATGTAAGATTTTGGATATTTCTTTCCCTGAATAGAATAATGCGAGTAATAGTTGTTTTTGGAGTCAAAATCGATGATGTCAAAGTTATCTGAAAATACATTAACAGGTATTTAACATATAATTTTTACGCGCGAGCATCGTCACACATGGATTTAAGTATGCAGTTGTGTGTCACTCACCATGATTCCCCCTGACATCCAACCATAAAATTTTCTTGCTGACATTAGTCTGGTCTATTACGTATCTATAAGTCTCCCATTCTTCGCGCTGTTGCTTCGAACCAAATCTATTTTCAGCTATGGCATCAGTCAAATCTCCTATCAAGCGCGAAACGTTTTATTAATCTAATTTCTCCGATATATGATGTATTCTAGTATCTATAAAATATATAAATTACCCGAAGCAAGAACAACTTTAGGCTGAATGGCTGAATTTACCGTCACATTGCAGAATTCTGTGAACTCCCATATCCTAGTTGGATCCCTAAAGATACTTATATGTAAGTCGGTTATCTGAAAATATATAAAAAGCTATCTAAGTATAAAACACAGCTGTAACTCGCATTGTCAATTATCCTGAATGCCGGTCGACAAACCTGTAGGAACCATATCAAGTGATTGTACGAATTATTTATGTTATAATGTTTCGGTCCTGACTTCGTCTCCCCGTTGTTGTCTCCCGAGGTCTCGATCGGAAGATGATGGTCGATGCTAATGAAATCGACTACATTCGCCATCAGGATGGAGAATATCAGTATCAGGACCAGGAGGACGATGGTGGTCTTGGATATCCTCATCGCGACGATAATGCTCGGTGCGAGCGTACACTGTCGGGAGGAAGATTGAGACTCGGGAGTGAAGTCCGGTCGTCTTCAGCTGGAGCAGCTACTCATTCACGTACGGAAGCCGACGTGACATTCATTCCAATTCATTCCGTTCGAGAGAGAGAGAGCACGGGAAGACGCGGTCGAGCGACTCGGCGATGCCGTCTTGCGTTCGAGGATGAACGATGTGACGCGGCGACTCGGAATTCAGGTAGTACGTCGCGCGAAAAATAGCCGCGCATGATGCGGTTCGCGATCCGGGCAAAATTGATCGGAGACGTTCGAAGCGAGACGCCGGCTCGAGTCGAGCGCGACCGCTCCAATCCGTTCCGTCATTCACAATCGCCTCTTGCTATGTTACGTTAATTTTAAAAGTAGCTTGCTCCCCGAGGGAACGAGGGAAGGAACGTGAGTCAATCGTCAATCCTCTCGTCTCGTCTTTCCCCTCCCAGACAGTCGACTCCAGAGTCCAGACAATCACCGTCAATTTCGATCGTAGTTTCGCTCAGGTTGTTCTCATGACGACTGTCTGCGACCATCTGCGATTGTCATCGACGCGTGTCGTCTGCTGTCAATGCCTACATCGACAATAACGGTCCTCTGCATTATCAGCGCACGATGGGACGGGAGAATGCAATACATAAAAACGATAAATTAAATGTGATAATATTTTAGTATAATATAGTGTTTGACAAGTTATAATTAATAATAAGAAATGCATTTTAAGAAAGTCATAAGTTTCAAGATTGCATTATTTAATATAGAGAAATAGTCTGCGAAAGTAATTGCATTCTTTGTTAGCCAAAATATTTTCTCATCTTTTGACCGTCTTTTTATGCAATCTCAAATAATGCAATTAAATTAATCACTCAGAAACTTATGACTTAAAATTAAAATATTTATATTATGTTCTTAGATTTGAATATAGCGCCAGCTTTTTCACCTCTTGTCACGTGATCTATTTTTTAGTTTGCCATTTCCGGATCTAGATCATGGCGGCGCTGACGCTGACACAAATTCTTTCGAAAGTACGTGATGTGGACTTTGTATTTTGCAAACAGAGCGAAAACACGCGAGAAGACGAATGACACGAATAAAAACAGATAAAAATGGAATGACGTGAAGAAAAACAATTATTGTGAAGGACGGCAAGGATGGGAAGGGATCCGGTGTCCTTCGTTCGTCTGATTTGATTCGTTAACATTGCCGATTGTTGTAAATCGTCGGCAAAACGCGACGAAATTGTAACTGTAACGAGAAAAGGCGACGGCCGGTGCGAAACGAGCGGCGACGCGAGTTGACACTGTAATAAGAGGGTGAGTTATGACTTTATGACTTTCTTTTCTTTTGCTATTGTCGCGGAGTCGCGACAAGCGACAGTGCCGGCGCGCACTTTGCGGAACTAACCTCAAAATCGGCCAGTTGGAGTAACAATCAGAAAAGAACCGCCATATGAAACGTCCGCGTATATGTACGTGTTCCAGCAGCAAGTTTCTCCGAGAATTCCGACGAGACTTTGTCAGTTGTTCTCTTTGTCGACTCATCATTAATCGTATTTATCACGTGTACTATTTTCTATTATTTTTTATTTTGCGCGAGATCCGCAAGATCTTTGAGGCGCATTTCTCTGCGCTCTTGCCGTTCGAGACACGTATTTTTAGATTCCGAATGGAGCAGGTAGAAGAACGGAGGGGACAAAATGTAGAAAAATGCGGATTAAACGAGCTTATACTTTTATTTTGTGTTTTAAGAATTAAAGGTGCAAGGGATACAAAACTAACAATAAGAACAACGCACTTTAAATGTACCTACTAGTAATGCTTGTCATAATGCTTATACTAACACATATCCTATCATTAATTTTATTGTTATATTATATTATAAATTTATTTTTATCCCAGCTTTGTAGAGCCTGTGTTTCATTACTCTGCACGATTCTATCATATACATTTTATTCCTGTGCGAGTCAGTTTCACATAAAATGTCGTCTTAACAAAGACACGCTCTTTGTGTAGTAAGATATACAATATGTAACAAGATGGTGTGATGTACCTTGACGCGGGACAACCGTAACTTTCAGGCGCGATACGAGCCAAAGGCAAGGACTATAACTAGCAGGAAGAATACTGAATGAATTGTAAGAATTGATGCTGCGTGCGAAGAAAAGAGTAATTTGCAGTCCTGGAGGTGTTTTGAATTGTTTTACGCAACACGATGGAGAGGAAGGAGAAGAACTTTTCTCCAAAGCAGCCGGAGACATTGCGATACAGGTACAATGAGAGTACCGATCTGTCGTCTAGCATGCCAATACTATTTGAAAGACACTTTGCGATCTCGGACGTGCAACGAGACGCGCAGACGTTACCCGAGCCGGGGTCTATGTTCGCGGAACCGCCGTGGCAGTTGGACCAATTGCAGAGGATGAAGAGAGTTCTGAACGAGGTGAAGAGCCGCCTGAATAACTTCAATCTCGTCAAATGGCAGCAGCACACGAGCCGGATGAACGAAGCGGGCGACATCGTGCGCGCGGTGAAGGAGAGAACACAGGGGGAACTTGTGACTCAAGCGTGGTGCAAGTTCTACGAGATCGCCAGCAACTATTCTCTGGTGCCGTTGAACGAGATCTGCCGCGACGACGGTAAGAACTTCAGGTCCGTGCACGTTTGCGAGGCGCCGGGCGCGTTTGTGACCGCTTTGAACCATTGGCTGAAGACGAACGCGCCTGATGTACGGTGGGACTGGCTGGCTACCACCTTGAACCCCTACTGCGAGGGAAATTCGTACGACAGTATGGTCGCGGACGATAGGTTTATCAGGCATACTCTGAGGCATTGGTGCTTCGGCGACGACAACACGGGCGATATCATGGATCTGAGAAACTTGGACGCTCTGGTGGAGAAGTCCGAGTCCGCCGCCGACGACGGAGGACGAATTCTGTTGGTCACCGCGGACGGCAGTGTGGACTGCACGGACGTGCCTGGAGAGCAGGAGAGCGCCGTGGCGCAATTGCACCTGTGCGAGACAGTGGCCTGCATGCACCTCTTGCAGAAAGGCGGTAACTTCCTGCTGAAGCTCTTCACTCTATTCGAGCACCAATCCGTGTGCCTGATGTATCTGTTATCTTGCGCCTTCCATCAAGTTAGCGTGACGAAGCCAGCTAGCAGCAAGGGAGGAAACTCGGAAATGTATGTCGTCTGCATGAATTTCAAGGGCAGGGATTACGTAGCGCCGTATTTGCCTATACTCAGGCATCATTATGGCAACGTGCCGCCCGCGAATGCGATGTTCAGCCTGCGGGATATTCCGGACGATTTTTTACGGAGGATCGAACAGTGCAGCGAATTCTTCAAGTACCATCAATGCCGGGTCATAATGGATAACATAAAGACGTTTCGCTCGAGGGAGAATTATTCCGGCGCGGCACGATTTGTCAGGGGACTCATCAGTTTCAAATATCTCGAGGACTGCAAATTAAAAAAAATAGATCCTGCGAACGAGATAGTCGGCCGGGAGATAATCGAGAGGAACAACAATCAATTTATGAATAAAAAATTGCACGTCGATTCCTACAACGAGCGTTGCAAGAGGCAAAACTTAGGGCCGCAAGAGCGTTTGTTGCAGATATGGGACAATGCGAAAGAGATCGAAGAGCCGTCAGAAAAATTCTACGTTGTAAGCAAATTTTTCAATTACGTTCCTAAAATGACAATGTCAGTCTTTATAAATTAAAAAGCATATATATTGGTTGTGATAACTTTTACCACAACTTAAAGAAGTTGCATTTTTCATAAAATAATCATGAAAAAATTGAGATCGAGAAGCTAAAGAAACAAAATATTTTAATTTTATAATAATATTCAACAAATTACTGCAAAGTAATTTGTTCATAGAAACTTATAAATTACTGCAGTTTAAACAATGAATTTTTTACTGTACCTGAGAAAAGATCAAGTGGAAACCTTTAGAACGTGATAATTTTACTTTTATAGTGGCACCTACAGGCATTACCGGATGCTTTAGAGATACAAACAGGAAAGTTGTTTAACAAAGTACGCAGTTCGCGCTTTTGCGACTTGCAAATTCTGCAAATATTAATCAAAATTGACAACGTAATGCAAGATATGCGCACCACCGTCTGCTTTCCACCGTCAGAAATTACGAGAGAGTTCGCACAGCAGATCGATCGGAATCACGAGATACTGAGCTTCCAATTCGTTCAGGATTACGACAGCCATCGGACAATTGCCGAAATTTACGATCGATTAGAGAAGCTCCAATCCGAGCAAACACTCATTCTTGTCGGTTACCCTTTGCTAACGCAGTTAAATATTGGTCTCCTGTATCTCTTGGGAAATACCTTTAACAAGATTATCGTAGAAGTTCATGATAACGAAGGCTATCGTCTTAAATTGGAGACTTATCGGCGCAATGAGAAAGTACTGAATTGTTTACGTGAAATTTTGACAGCGTCGCATAACGCGCGCCAAGAAAATAAGGCAATTTGGTCGATAATGCCTATGAAAGTTTTATATGGTAAGATTCATGGACGCATAAATGAAAAGACGTTGATTTTATCCATTTTGATAACGTGTTTCATATTCATATATCCTCGTTTTATACAAGGTATTTAGTAATAGGCACATTTTAGTGAACAAAACAATATTTTTTGTTAAAAGTTAAATGATTTTTTCTTCTTTATTTGATATACAATTATTTCTAGAAGATTGATATACATGTGTTGGACTTAATTAATTTTGTCACAGTCCTCTGTTGAGACTTTCAGTATCTATAACTCCGTAATGATTAAATGTTCCGTCGACGGAAAACCATATCGGTCTTGAACAAAGAATATTGTCACTCGCATAAAAAAAATGCACCTATTGCCCTACGCTTGGTAGACCTTTGACGACGCATTTTCTTTCTAGAATGCGACCAGTTTCCTGCGATGATGCTACTTAATCATCTGATGATCAAACTATACGTTCGTCACGTTATCAATACGATAGGCGATAAAAATCTATAACAATGTGGGAATTATATACTTGATATATGATGATTGTATATAAAATTATAAATAATTATACGTGTATATATATATAAAATTATAATTGTGGATTGTGAATGATAAATGGGAATATGTAAAAAAAATATTGTCCTCTAAGTACACTTAATCAATTGTGGATAATATATATTTGTGAATAAATATATATATATATATATGTGAACGATGTGAACACAGAGCTTTGTAAAATACGCATTGTGAAAAAGTCATAAATAGGAAATAGACTGCATGCATGAGAAGATAGAACGAAAATGGTAATATATGTTTGTGTATAATTATTAGAGATTATAAGAATTCGTTCACATACAGAAAAAGAGAATCGTATATCTTACTTTTTAAAATATAATTTCAATTTCTCTGTTCTTTGTGAATCAAAGTGAAGAAACACTGTCTACCGAAATTCTGTATTGTTATTTTATTTAAAAAACGAAAAAAATTCGTTAATTTTGCTCCCGTTCGTCGTAATGACTCAACTCTGCTTTCTTTTGATTCTTGTTTTCCGCGATAATTTTGAGCGGTGATAACTTAATTGTACGGTAAATAACACGGACTAACAAATACTTTCAGATCCAAGGCATTTGTGGAACGTGCTTGTTTTATAAGAGGGATGAACACTATTTTGGAATCATATTTAATACATAGAACAGTGATTCTGCCTTTCTAAGAAAAGGACGTATACCACGGGTTATTCATGGGACTAACAAAACAGTGCGGTGCAAAGGCCCAACGACTGTTTTGACACGTATCAAAACAGTGTAAAATCCAGCGTCACGCTTTAGACATCGCCGCACACAAAAATGAGATTCAACATTCTCAAGAGTTGCACCCGTTCGCTGTGTACCGTACAACGCACGCCTCAGGTATGCATTGTCGGTGCAGGTCCAGCGGGCTTTTATGCAGCTCAACGATTGCTGAAGGTAACAATAATAGATGAATTATGTTATAATTAAGGATAGCGTTAGTTTTATTAATTCCTCTGTACGTAATGTATATTCTGTAATGTTATAAGTCAATATAAGCAATTTGTATGTATGTAACAGGATTCAAGCACCGTGAAAATTGATATACTGGACAAACTACCCATTCCCTTTGGTCTGATACGCTACGGAGTTGCCCCGGATCATCCGGAAGTGAAGAACGTCCTTAATACGTTTCATAAAATCGCGACTAATCCACGTGTTGAATTCATAGGCAATGTTAAAGTTGGCACGGACGTTACTATTAAAGACCTGCGAGAGAACTATGACGCTGTATTGCTGGTACATATCTGGTATTTCATTTCTTTAATTCGTAACTTTATGAGATCTATAAGTTGCTTTAATTATGATTTATATTAAATTATACATTATTTTAATTATTATAATAATATAAAAGGAGAAAAGGATTGATTTTTATAATCGTCAATAAAAAATATTCAAATACTTCGAACATACTAAAAATATCGAGATTATACATTTCTGGCAACTATATATTTTACCTTTATATATTTTTTATTTATTGTGTAGTTTTAATTAAATAAGTGTTGTAATGATTAGTTTTTTAATGAGCAACAAGTAATTATTCATCATTTCTAATTGTTTATTCCAATTGGCGTATGATAAATCTTTGTTTAATTATGAATCATTTCTTTACTTTTTTTATTCCAGGCTTATGGCGCTCAATTTGATCGATTGCTCAATGTACCCGGTGAAAATTTAAACAATGTGATATCGGCCCGAAATTTTGTTGGTTGGTACAATGGAACGCCGGAAGATAAAAACCTGAAGATTAATTTGGATGTAGAGGAAGCAGTTATCATAGGCCAAGGCAACGTGGCCATAGACGTCGCGAGGATTCTTTTGACGCCGGTCGACAAGCTAAAGGTAGTACCCGATCTCTAACTTTCATTTTAAATTAGAAATTTTCTATCAGTAATATGGACGACGATGCTAAGTAACATTAAAAGAGTTTGAAAGATTTGGATTATATGATTTTAAAAATATTTTTTAATTTTGTCAATTGAGAAATCTTTCTTTTTACCTCAGGGTACCGACATCACGTCGTACGCCTTGGAGGCATTGTGTCGTAGTAAAGTGCGAAGAGTCTCCATGGTCGGGCGAAGAGGACCTTTGCAGGCCGCATTCACGACCGCGGAACTGCGCGAGATTCTCAAGCTGGAGGGCTGCAAAACTGTCTGGCGAGAACAAGACTTCGAAAACGTACGGACAATTGTTCCGACCTTAGAGAGAGCCCGGAAACGACAAGCGGAGCTCATACTGAAGTCTTTAGAAGAATCCAAGCGCGACTCGGCGCACGCTAAAGAGCTACATCCAATCTTCCTGCGCAGTCCCGTCGAGTTTCACGGCGACAGCGAATTGGAGAGCATCCGATTTGCCGTCAATCGTTTGCGAGGAGAGACGATACGAGATCAGGTAGCCGAGATGACCGACGAATTCGAGGTGATCCCATGCGGTCTGGGTCTGCGCAGCATCGGTTACAAGGCCGTCAAAATAGATAGCTCAATACCATTTAATTCCGCGAAGGGATGCGTGGAGAACGTTGATGGTAAGGTCGAAGGAAACCTGTACGCCGCAGGATGGGCAGCGACTGGTCCAACCGGCGTCCTCCTGGCGACCATGACAAACGCGTTCCAAGTCGCTAGACTGATACACAACGAATTGACGTCCTCAAACACGACGGGGATGACCCGGCGGGGCTGGACCGCTCTGAGAGACATCCCAACGATGAAAGAGGTTCAAACTGTGTCCTACGAAGACTGGCAGAAGATTGATCGCGTTGAACAAGAGCGCGGCAAGCAGCGGGAGAAAGTGCGGGAGAAGATAGTCGACGTGGAGGAAATGCTGCAAATCGCTGGAAATTGAGATTGGAAGGATATTTAAAGAATATATGAAAAATTCAAACATTATACATAGATGACGGACTGATCCAATCGGTCCAATCTATTTTTTTTTCTTTTTTTTTTACTTTAAAATCCAATTTGGAAATTGATTTTCTCCGAGTTCTGTTTTAACAAACTTGTTTAAACCATTGCGCCTAACTCTCCAATCTCTTCAATTAATGACTAAGGCTGTGGGTTGCTGCAAATGTTTGTAATAAATAACGAAATATATTTTTTTATGGTGGTTTTTGTTATACTTTTACAGTAGTGGTACAGATCAGATTATATATGATCAGAGAAGTTCCAGTGTATAAATAATTGATAGAGCGTATTTTATAAATAAATATAAATACCATAAATATTAATATAAGTACACGTTTTTTTTTAATACTAGTTTATCCTTGTAAGTCTCTAAACTTGTTTATATACTACTAGACTGTAATATTTATATTTATATTCTTCAACATTTATATAATTTTATATATTCTCTCATTTTTCTCGTTTTTCACTGCATTATAAACAACTCACCTTTATTGTTTTCAAATTTAAATTAATTTGATGCAAAAATGGAAGAGCAAGTGAGAGAGACTGCCATATTTCGCGCACGCGTACTCCATTTCGACCAACACCATCAAATGCATCAAAGACGCCGACGGAAGAGCTGCGTATGCGTAGTGCGTACATTTGTGGCTGCAGCGCGAAGCGCGAGAGAGAGCAAGAGAGAGCGTCGAGTCCTTGGAAGGTATCAGATGTGTCGAGTGGTCGGAGCGACGTGATTGTTAATTATCATTATTATTAGTCGCCGGAAGAACGACGGTGACCGATGCACCGTGACGCACGCTCAATCGTTTAGGATGACACCGCTACTTCGAACGATCTTCTCGTGAATAAAACGTCCGAGTTGGCTCTCCCGATCGCGGAGCACCGATGCCGATGTCGTTGTCGATAAGCTCCTGATACGACGACCGCTGTTGCTCCGGGCGAGTAGCGATGGCTAGCAAATACAGCCCGGGCAAGATCACCCTGGGGATGTTAAAAGGTGAGTTAGCGAAGCACCTATACACCTGTCTCGAACAATTGCGTATTGATGACGTACACAAGTTCCAAAAATTTCGAGTGTCGAACAAGTGTTTCGACTGGTTCTTATTATATATTTTTTTCCTGCCGCAGGCAAACCGATTACCACATCGGTACCGGTGATCCACTACCGGGCCAATGACGACGAGCTGGAGGAGCTCTATCCGAGCTCCTCCGACGACGAGAGGCGTCTCACCCCGGAGTCCGACAAGAGGATACCGTCGAGCCCCTCCAAGAGCAGCGAGAATGGCCAAGGGCTGGAGAACGACGATAACGCGTCCGAGGGTACCCCGCCGTCCTCGGATCCGTGGAAAGTGCTGTCCGAGATCAAGGGGAAGATCACGAAGACGTTCGAGGAGAAGATCTCCGAGATGAAGAGCGACAGGAAGAAGAAGAAGAAGAGGAGGCATAACAAGGAGCGTAATTCCAGCGTCAGCGACTCGGAGGATCTGGGAGATGTCACGCCGACCGATGAGAACGTCAACGACAAGCAGGAGAAAGATTTCGCTCGCGGTAAGGGCAACGCCGCGAGATTCGTGGGCTTCTCGCAGGTGAGAACTGGCCTGAAGACGAAGAATTCTCTGGACGACAGCGTGGAGAGCGGCGTGGAGGCCGCCGAGTTTTCCGACCTCGTTCCCGAGCCGTTCCCCTTTGAGTCGCGGGACGATTTTCGCGCCGAGGACAAGGAGAACGACGCCAGTCGCGGTGGATACGTACATACGAAAGAAGTGACATTCGACGCGTTGCTCTCTCGCATGAAGGATCACGTTTTTCAACAGTTGACGAAGCAGTTAGCTGCGCTGTTGGTTCTTGTGCTCTCTTTCTACTTCCTCATTCCATTGCCCGCCCACTTGGTGGGCTTCTCCGTAGGAGTCTTCGTCACAGTAGTGGTGTACAAGCTAGTGCAGAGGATCCGGGAAATTCTGGCGACGCCGTTAGATAAGAAACCCGTACCTGTAGTAGTTCCAGTATTAGAGATACCGGCGGCGGAGGAGCACGCAGTCCAAGAGAGATACGAAGGATGGTTGAACGAGCTGCCATACACCTACGATCCTCACAACTATCACGTAGCACGTACGAAGTCGGTTTTCTTCAGTCTAGAAGGCGGAGTGCTGCGTGTTATGGAGACAAGAATGAAAGTACCAAAGAGGGCTGTGTGGGATGAGCCAAAACGAAAATATAAGTTTATCAGAAAACGCGCGTACAATCTTGTCGGTGCAAGAATAGAGCTGTTACCAGAAGGACTCACTCGGAGAAGGTTCGCGACTACGTCGTATATAATTATTTCATACTTTTTGTAAAGTGTACACGCGCGCGAAGTAAACATATTTTTTGTACGCAGGAGATGGAGTAAAAAGTATCCAATTTGCGTCACGATGGATCAAGGAGCGTTGGTAGACAGCACGAGTCTGAGCGACTGGACGGACCTCGGAAAAGAGTATCTCGAGGATGAAAAGAAAATTATCCAAATGGAAGGAGTCAGTGAAGAAGTCGAGGAAAGTACCTTGGGCGAGGAAACGAAAAGCGAGGATGAGGATTCCAGATTGGATTATTTCAAGGATAATGAGGAGGACGAGTTTAAGATCGACGAAGATGAAGACGACGACGATCTTTCGCAATCCAAGTCCATCAGGAGTATTTACGAGGACTGCCGCGACAACGAGGAGGCTAACAAGTGCAAACTTTATGTGTTCGCACGCGCCGACCGAGAGAAAGAAGACTGGTAACATCTCTACTAAAATACCTCTCAAATCAATTTAAATAACAAAGATTCTAATTAAACTTTTTAATTGCTAAAATATAATTTGGAACTGTTTTTTTTCGATTATTAGCGTATCTTAGTGAAGGATTTTTTCAGGTTTCGCAGATTGACATCAGCGGCGTCTCTTTCGAGAAAACGACACTCAATTTGTTCCGTAAATGATTCCTGTGCGAATGGAAACTCTGCGCAGTCAGATGTGGCAGAAACAAAGTCGCCAGAGGCGTCTCCCGAAGTCACTTACAGTACCTATATGAGCAAGTACCTGAACGTAAGCAATGTTGCAACCGAATTAACGCCAGAATCCTTATTATTCTAATCGAGGGATTACTTTTCAGGTGGATCCCGAGGGTTCTCCAAAGGAGAACGATGTCTTTTGGATAAATTGTTTTTTGGGCCGACTGCTATTCGATATGCATAGCTGTCCGGAGACGATCAATCTCATTCAGGACAGAATACAACGTAAACTCTCTAACATAAAGCTTCCGTACTTCATGGAGAGCCTCCTTGTGACGGAAATGGTGATCGGACAGGATGCCCCGATGATTCATAAAATCTCTAAGCCGACGCTCGATGAGCGGGGGCTCTGGTTCGATTTAAACATCACCTATAAGGGTAGCGTGACAATGACAGTAGAGACAAAGCTGAATCTAATGAAGCTGACACGTGCGAGCAGCGTTCCCGGTGATATCCAGGTTGATGAGAAACCTGTTCCTACCAGATCACCGATATTCGATAGCGATGTAGAAGATAGCCCAGAGACATCCACCGAAGACGAAGATATGGGAAACATCACGTCGAGCGTCGCATCTAAAGAGACCACGTAAGCGCGAATTCCTAATTTAAATCAGCTCCAATTTGTATTGTTTCGCTTTTTGCATCTGTTTAGATCGTATGGCTATTGATATATATTTAATATATCTTATATAAATAAAATCTCTCTTTAACATTAACAAATCTATAAAATATCACAACATGTAATATGTTTTTCAACGGTCAAATAAATTTGTAAAAATTTTCCGTCTTAAAAATATATAAATGTATCATAATGAAATTGCTAATGATAGAATTAATAGGTTTTTTTTGCATATTACAGACCAATACAGTCTTCTGGCAAGAAGTTTCTTAGCATGGTCGACAAGTTGAGAGCCAATAAGTATTTCCGACACGTAAGTGACACGTCTATAATTATATTCAACTAAGCTGTGATGATCTGTCACTATTAATAACTAAGAAAACAAAGAGCTCGCGCTAATTAAACCATCCATCTTCTTCATCGCAGGCTACAGAATTGTCTTACGTACGAAGAGCGATGGAGGGTGTTTCTAACACGGAGATCCGCTTCATGGTCAGCGTATCCGGCATCGAGGGCTGCCTCTTGATGAACATCCCTCCGCCACCCTCCGATCGGCTTTGGTACGGTTTCAAGACAGTGCCGAAAATCGCCCTCACTGTGCAACCAACTCTCGGCGAAAGGACTGTCAACATTGTATATGTGAGCAACTGGATTGAGAAGAAGCTGCTCAGGGAATTCGACAAACTAGTCGTTCTACCAAATATGGACGATCTGCTCCTGCCACTCTGCCCAAATTATCCCTTTACCACAACGTAAACGAATCTTGCGCCGGCCAAAACAATCTCCAGCTTTTTTGTCTTTTTTTTTTAAGTATATTTCGTGAATAACGTGTTTAACGTTGTTGCGTGTTGATCAAGAAATGGTATATTTTTCTTCAATATAGCGATTTATCGAAATTCATAGATAGAAACTTGTGAAAAAACTTTTGAAAATAAAACTCAGATAATGATAGATTTAACTGTTTTTACACGATTTTTTAACATTATTAAGTTATTTTTAATATCACGTCGCGAAGAAATTTATCAGTGTAGCATTTACAAAAAAGCGGAGGAATTATTGTGATATATTAATATACGTTACTTTACTTTGATAAAATCCAATGAAAAGATAGGAAGCAGGAGAGACGAAGTTTATTATGAGTGAACATTATTTTTATTAGAATATATAAAAAGATGTAGCGAGTGAAAGAGATGTGTGTACAAGGAGACAATTTAATTAATATTAAGTGCAAACCTCGCTGCTTATTTTATTTAGTTACATAATTATAAACATTTTAAAATTGAGTGAAATTGATGCTGCAGAGGAAAAAAAAGATGCGTATCAATGTGATCGTTGAATTAGTCATTTAATATAGGCAGCTGATGAAAAATATTGTTAAATTATTATCAAAGTCGTAAAACGATTTTTTTGAGTTATAATAAAATTAAATAATCGGTAAATTTGGGCAAATATAATCAGGGCAAAATCATCAAAGTGAAAATATATGTATGAAAATATGAATCAAAAAGCTTTATAGAGCGATTTTATGCTTTCCTTTTGGAAGGTTCGCAAGTTTGCAAGTTAAAAAAGTCATATAAAAATATGAAATTATTTTAAGAAGAAGGTCTTACCTATCCTATTTTACCTTTTTCTGAACAAACATTTTGATTTTATTTCTAACTACATCAATCCCCCCTCTCGTTCGAAGCGTTCAGGTCGAGTAAAAGCTTCTTTGAACACTGGTCCCAATAGAGTACGAGCCAAATATAAAGCGATTTTCGCGCCTTCATAATTAGAATTATTATAACCTAATGATTAAATTTATTATAATCTAATAATTAGGTTTGTAAACCAAAAATGTGTAGTTGCAATCGGCAAAATGTGTAAGAGAGCGTGATATGATAATTACGTTTATGAAGAACGGTAGAACAATGATCGTGTATAGATTTCAAAACGCGATCTAAAGTATTAATTTCGCGTATGCGACTGTCGACTCGATAAAACAAAGTTGTGCTATGCCAGTTACTCGGTTTTCAAATAAATATGTGAATTTCATTTCTCCGTAGTTGCAAACCGAGAAACTTATAGTCAATGGCTTTTCAACGAATATAGCAGAAAGATTTACTCTCCTCTGTCTCTGGTCGGCTAAGCGAATTACTCTACTTGTTCAACGACACTAGCAAAAAAAAAGCGAGATGTTCATTAATGTATAATCGAGTATACAGTTTGTATCTACTAGCCAGCTTGATCTGTGAGCTGTGTTATTTTGTTTGATACTATACAAATATATATACGTGAGCGTTCGTGTATTTGCGTGTCTCAGGGAGATTATATATAGATTAAATTCTGGTTCCACAGTGTGATTTTGTGTTACGGTAGAGACCCACGATATTTTTAAATACACGGAATGTGTGTACAACCCTTTTATATCAAAACGTAAGACAAATTATATTACAAAGGCCAATTCTCATACGTTTAAAACTAATTGTGATAAAGCAAATATATTTTGTAAAGATATTTTTTCAAACGACGTTCTGTTTAAGACTCACACCGTTGTCGAACTCGCATGGTTCCAGAATTAAATCACAGAGGTATATTAAAAAAGTTTTTGCAAAAATAAATTATTGTACATTATTAACTGTTTCTTTCTCTCTCTCTCTCTTTCTCTCTCCTAGAAATTCTTTTCTGATTAAGTTAAGGAAATCGATATTTTGAAATTATGTAAATTGTATTAACGCTCAATTGTATAAGTTATATGACTCTCTGTCGATTCAGATTCGTTATGAACAACTTTTTATTATGTACACAACCCTTTATGTATTAAAAGTACAGAGTATATGGACAGAGAGATGCATAATTTTTCTTCATTTCCAAATATCTTTATTTTTATACACATATGTTTTATCATACTGATATAAGAACAGTTATTCCAATCGGTATTGGAATTTATATAAAATACTTTTATTTATTAAATCTATATAAAATTGTCATAATTGTAATCAATATAAACAAAAAATATGTTTAACTCTGCGGCGAGTCGACGTACTCGTCCAATAAAACTCCAATGTACCTAGTAATCACTGCGCACTTTCTCTTGGCAACAGATTCTAACGGAATGTTGCTCCCGTATTAAACTTCAAGAACGAAGGTATTCGCAATTAAATTACAGACGAATTGAAGGGATTCAAGCTTCAAGGAAAATACAAATACGTAATAGAATCATAATCTCAAATATATTTTATTTCAATAAAATTCTAATACGTTATAAAACGTACGTAATAAAACGAGAAAATGATGGTTACGAAATAGGAAATGAGAAAAAGAAGAAATGAGACTTACGAAAAGGAAATTTTTACGGGAAAGTGAGCGATGCATGGGATATTCTATATGTAACAGTTTCTCTACTCTCTAGAACAAGTATTAAGGCAAAGTGTGCTTTCCGTTTCTTCGTGCACGTTCCTCCACGTTCCTCTTAATACAACAAATAATATCACAGTTTGGAGATCGACAATCTGACAGTATGCGGTATGTACACAAAGAATGGATGTTCCCTATATACAAAGGTATCCTCGTACAAACGGCTAGACCGGCAGTTTTCTATTCGGTATTGCTCTAACAGTGATTTCCAATTTCGTAAAGGCGATACTGTACTCATATATCTATTGTGCATCGTGTACGTTCCTTTATGGCTTTCCGCAGAAAATCACCTTAAAATCGCATTCGCTAACTGTGGAGGACGCAGGGCGCGTTGTCCATATCACGTACAATCTCCTCCCACGCCTCCAATCTGGGCGCGCACACCAGGGTGAGGTCTCCGAGACGTCGTTTGGCCATTATCACAAATTCGCCGAGGCCGTGTCGTGCGTCGCATGCCATCGGTACTCTCACGCGTATGCTCTTCTTCAGAGACGCCGTTACGTCGATTTCGTTACCCTGTAAATAAGCGTTATAATTTGTAATTGGACGTACACCGTACGTTAAGCAGAGTATTAAAAAAAACCAAAGGCAAAGCGTGCCTTTCGTCTTATGGAAAAGGTTTACCTCGGCTTCCTGAGGTACGTAGCGCAGAATCTTGGTGGCCCTGAGTATCAGCTCGGCAGTGTCCATCTCGAAGTTCTGCTCGACGGCGGTGACGGTGCCTTCGGCGACCAGGTCGCTCTGACAGTAAGCCTTGGCTAGCTCCTCCATGGAACAGGGTCTGCACTCCTCTTCCTCGTCAGGCACGCGCAGCGTGCCACCCTTCACGGAATTTGGCTCCAAGTCGTACTGCAGTTTGACCTTGGCGCTTTTGAAGGAATAATCGTCCTCCGCTTCCATGTAAAGCGCGGCCGTACGCTTCCGCGAGCGGAAGCACCGGTGCGAGAGTACGTGCTTGCCGTCGGACGGGGAGTAGATCTGCCTCAGCTTGCCGCTGGCCTCGAGGAAGACCCGCACGGGCCCGGAAATCTTGACGCAGGCACGGAAACCGAGGTAGCCGGAAGAATTGGTCTCCGAGAACGAGACCGGGAAGGAGAGGACCACCCTCAGAGCATCACGCGGATAACTCCACAGCACCGTTCCCCGGGCACAGCGCAGATACACCGGTCGAACACCACCGCCTTCTCCTCCCCCGCTGTGCGAAATATTTAATTTTAATTAATTGTATCTGTTTTTATAAATACAGAGTGCTTGAAAAAAATGTTAACACTTATACGGAAGTGATTTTTTTTTTTAGAGAAACAGAATAGATGACACAAGATATCATGGTAACAGATACTTTGTCTTCAAAGTTTTCACCATCATTGTCTCTCGACACATTTATCTTGAAATCTTTTCCAGGTGGTCAGGGTCTCCAGAGCCCTGAGGCATATTTCTTTGGGTACTGGCGCAAACACATATTCTGTCAGACATTTTATACATTGACGGAGAACAAGTAGAGACTGTTTGAAGACAAAATACATTTGTTACCGTGATATCTCGTGTTATCAGTTCTGTTTCCCTAAAAAAATCATTAACATTTTTGTTCAAGCATTCTGTGTAATATTATAATGAGAAAGAGAGAGAAAGAGAGCATACTGTTTAACAATTATAAAAAAAGGAAAGAATAACTTATATTAATGCAGTGCCACGTTTAGTTGAAGAAGGTTGAAATTATATCAAACATTAAATATTATTTTATACCGTTATTGAAGATACAAAATATTAAAAGCTAATATTTTACAAGATATACAAAAAAGTGAAGATTACAGGTGATATTGTACTTTCAGAACGATTTATCTCCAGCTGCGGCCGAAGATCGGAGTCACAGCGGCCACTTGTTACGGTACTGACTTGTGAAAGTTCATGAAACGCAGAGAGAGAGAGAAAGAGATACAGAGAGAGAGAGAGAGACTGTGTCACAACGAAAAATACGAACCTTCCGGACCAGTCGCACTGATCCGCGGCGGTATGCTCGTAGGCGGACACGCTGGAGATGAAAACGAGAACCGCGATTGCCGCGCGTACCATTTTTTCCTTCTTCTTTTCTCTCTTGTCGACGTTCCCTTTACACGTTCGTCGGCCGGTATACGCGACGCGCGTCACATCTTCGACGCCTCGGGCGCGCTTTCCTCCGTGGAAATAAAGTCGCGATTTTTCGAGCCCGCATTCAAATTAAGTACTCGCAGGATATTCCCGTGGGCGTTCGCGAGGCATCTCAGGATTTTCTAGTCGCTCGAGGAGCTCCCGGGGGTACCCGGGATCCTTCCGGAGGGCACGCTCGCGCGACGTCTCGACACCAACGGTGCCAGCAGCAACAGCAGCAGCAAACTTTCTTTCCTTCGGTACCTTTCCAGATGGTCCAGAGCACCTCCCTCGTCGTATACAGCGCAACGTTAAGCCACTCGAATCCCTCGAACCTGTTGCTCGAGGGGAAAAAAGGCACGCGGAAGGAGGGCAAAGTGGTTCCCTATATGGCGGTCAATCCCGCCGTAGGAGTAAGAAGCAACGCTTGCGGAAGAATGTAAACAATCTCGGAGATCCCCGTCCGGCGATATTCCCTCTCAGGATTCTCACCGCGCGCCGCGCATCCTCCGCAACTCGACGACGCCGCGACCGACGGGCGTCCCGGGATCCGGGGAGGCACGTCCCACGAAGAACGATGAGAGATCTAACGCGTGACTCACGGAGCACAGTGCGCGAACGCGTCCTCCGTTTTCTTCGGGGGGTCACCAATCCGGTCCACCGCACACCGCACCGCGCGCGAGAGCACTTCCTCTATTCCGAGATATATCATTCCCCATTCCCCCCCCCGAGATCCTCCCACTCCTCCGCCGGTCTAACGGCACATGCGCAGAGAACGAGAACGCGCGCGGGGTTTCCTTTCCGCTTCTGTTGTGTCTACGCGCGAACGTCCAGGCGGCGTACGTTCACCGGTTACGAGTTACGAGATCGCCCGGACCCGGACGCCCGGCTGTGCCCCCCACTAGGCCCCGAACGGCCCGTTCCCTGCCCACGATCCGGGCCGAAGGCTGAGCGAGTGGTCCCAGTCCCCCTCCTCCTCCCCCCGTTTCTCCTCGCTAAAACGGGACTGAATGATAATTACACTTGATGAGAATTGAACAATGAAAGTTAAAATTAAGATTTTTGTCGTTCTCTGACATTTCGCGCTAATTTTAATATAAATTTTGACATTTTATATTTAAAAAAAGTTGATAAAAGCGATCGCTGCTTTACCGACCGTCAATGGTTACCGACGGCGCGCCGCACGTATCGACGTGGAAGGCTTTACAACAGAGCTTCGAGTTTATCTACGGGAGTTTTGACATCGCTGAAGCGGCGCTGAGTGCGCGCATCAAAAAGCCATAATTGCTTGTTTCTTTGTTACGATTGTCATGTTTACATTTCCTAATCGGAAGTAATATCGTTCGCGAACGGCTCGGCTCGAAATATGGCCAAGACTAAAACGATTAGCAAAGGATGCCCGAAATGCGAGCAGCAGGTATTCAATTCTCATCGCGTGTTGTAAATTGTACATGTATTTTTTAATATTTCACACACACAAACACATATATTTACAATATGTCTCTCGTATAATTATAATGTGTCTCATTTTGTAATGTAACGTTCCACACCTGCCACGAGGCACTAGTTTCTATTTTTACTATTTATAAAAATACTATGTATCTTTATAATCTTTATATTTTATTCAATTTTCTCGTAAAATAAAATTTAATGTAATGTGCAAAGTATCGAAATGAGATGTGAGAAATAATTTTTTTTTTTTTGCAGACAAATATGTTGCATGAACGCATTCTCCGCATTTTGATTTATTATAATTGAATAAGAAAAATGGCAGTTATCGAATTATTATATATTTATGTTTATAATTTACTATTTTTTAACAATTTTATTATAATAATACATTATTTTAATAATACATTATTATATGAGAATCTTGTAAATTTTATATTATTTTATATTTATACTTGACATCAAATTAATTATATATAAATTGGGTATCAAGTTGAAAATATGGCGATTAACATATTTGGTATGTTTCTTTTTTGCGATAAGGTACCCGTTGCCTGCAAAGCATGTCCCTGTGGACATTCTTTTTTCAACGCACGGCGCAACTCCATCAAAAGTCCACCCAGCCCTGACAGCGGGGTGATGAAGACTAGAAGAACAAATCGCGTTAAACGCGAGAAGCCAAATTATTATGACGCCTTGGAATATGACAAGCAGATGAAGAAAAGTGCCAAGGTAGAGAATAGAACCATTACCTTTCAACCCTTTTAGAAACATATAGATTTATTAGATCCCAATCTTGTTTCAATTTTATTATTGCTACACGCAAAATATTAATATTTGCATAATTTTCTTAATATGTATACCAATATATATTTTTTGAAAGAATATTTGATATTCTTAATGCATATATACGTAGCTAACTATAAAAGCTATTCTGTTCTTTCAGATCAGACGGACCACAGACAATGCGAATGATATCGATTGTCGACAGTTGAACAAAAAGAAGAAACGGAAAGCAAAGGGAAAGGGCAAGAGTGGCAGCAGCAGTGGCATGGGCGACGACGATGACGAAATGGACGGGATCAATGGATTATCTCCCGAGAAGCAGCTCACTTGCTCCCTCATATTACAGGAACTGAACAACAAGATGAGAGTGGTGGCTTGGAAACCTACGTGAAATCTGAGATAAATATAGTCGCATGTATCCCTTTGACGATCTCAATGACCATTAGTCCAACGTGATTGCTTTATTAACGCACGTTGGTGCGTTAATAAAAGATAAAAATGAGATAAAAATGAAATGAACTTACGCATTACGGTGCACCGCATATATTGATCCTATATACATGATATTGAAAATTAAAGTTACCGAGTTTACATCGAGTTTCAGTCTCCATACAGAGACAACTGCCATGAAAATCTCCGATCGATGTAATTTTTCATAGCACTCTTATGTGTCATTTTTTTTTTTTTTTTCATTGTGATTAAGACTTGTGATGTCATTTCGAAGCTTCTGCATACGGAATATGTAAACTTGCAATTGAATTGTGCGTCCTACTTGTACTATTTGTACTCCACACATTTAGCGCTGAATATAATCGTCAGATTTTCAGGATTGTTCTTGGAATTCTGACAGAGTGGTAGCAGATAACGCCGGATAATCATTGCATGAGACTTTTGCGATCGGACTGCCATATATAGCGCTTAGAATCCAAATACGGATTTTACACTTTAACAAATTAAAATCTTCCGAGATTACTCGTAGCAATCATTATATTTAGACATATCTACACATACCTATTTAAAGATTAAGAAACAGAAATACGTAAAAGTTACAACTCAACGTGTAAATATTTAGGCTTATTGTGAAAAGATTTATATATATATATATAATGTAAAAAATTTATATTATAGATTATTTATCATCGTTTTTTAAATGTCGTGCATACCTATTCAAAACATCAATTTATTATACTTTTCTATGTAGTAGTCATTATCCTTTTAGTTATACATACGTATACGATGTTCATATTTAAGAACATTGAATTAATAAAAAGTGATTTTGTATATAACTGTAATAATAATATGTAAAATGTAAATAATAAATATAGGAACCTTCTTGAAGATCGCTTATTTAATACATTTACTATTCGTGAGATATTTATGACTCATGAACATTTTTGTTTACACACTTATGAGGCATACTTATGTACTTTAAATATCTCGCTAAATAATATTTTAATATTTAAATTTATTTGAAAGAATACTTAACAGAACACGTTTGAGACATTGAAGTGCAATGAGAACTTGAAGAATAATTTGAGAATGATAAGGTGGGATAAATAGAGCGTGAATATGTCAATTTCTAATCTGTATTTATTTAATTAAATTTACCTGATAACGTGACATAAAAAGTGGCAAGGAGTCAATTTTGGAGATGTTCAATAAGCATCGTGATGTTATCATTTTTTTTTTAGTGACAACTGTTACGATTTATTTATTTTCCTATTACACATTAAATCACTTTATAGTCAACGATCACATTTTCAAAATAATTTACCCTTTCACGGTAGTGTCCTCCTGACGATTGTTATTCTCGGCGTTCACGGGCAGCTTTGTTGGATTTGTTTGGTTCTCGTTGAAAACCAAAAGCAGGGGTAAACCCCCTATGACCATACATGTACCCATACACAAAAAACACACGGTGTAGCTTCCGGTTACATCGCGGAGATAGCCTGGAACAATTTATTATCGATATATTATTATACAGTCAGCACATAATATAAGTGGTAATTAAAATCACAAGAATTAATCAGATATATAATTAATTATATGTATTATAGAGAATCGCATGAAGATAAACAAATACGTCAAATTAAATAAATATATGTCAATGTGTATAGAATTCAATTACACATTTCAAGTGACGGGATATAAACATTTTAATTTATTTGTACAATCCGTTTTTCGTAGCAAAATGTGAAATTGTATAATTTATCATCGTCTTTACTTCGCAAAACTAAATTTAAAGTACGTTTCAAATTAAACAAGGAATAATATTTCGCTATTTATCTATCCATGTAGTTCAGCTTGCGCGAAAATGTTATCTTTAACATATTTAAATGTTATTCTTAACATGTTATACCCGATAAATGATTCGTTATGACTCGAATGCTATCGGTGACCTGACATTTTCTTCAAAGAAAAATCGATTTCAAATTAGTAATGGCTGCAGTGTTTTATCTATTTTAAAATTATCCGAGCAATCAATATAACTACATCGCACAAGTTTATTAAGATAAAAAAAATACATTGAGATAGAATTACATATAACGTAGTTTAAATAAAAATCTAAAGAAATAATTCGAGAAAGTGCAAACGATAATCCTCAAAGACAATACTCTCGAAATAATTTAAAAAGAAAAAGCAGCCATTTACACATACATGTTGATTCAAGAGCATAAAGACAAAATGTGTAAAATTCACAAAAAATTATAATTAGACACAAAATCCCGTTCGATGACCAAGAATGTCAACATTTATTTACCCTATGTTATACACACACGTCGATCGCTACTTATTTATTAAAAAAAAGTCACCCTATATAGTATAGTGGTTGTGAAACACATGTATATACGTGTGCGCGTGCACAGCCTTTATATTTTTATCTCCGCACTCTTGGACGTAATTATCAACGCGAATAATTAACGCAATACGTGACTCAATATTTTCTCTGCAGTCTCTGAAGTAACGCGAGAGAGTTGCACGTGTACTTTTCCACAGTTGCATATACACAGGACAGTCGATGAATTGAAATTAAATGGAAGAGAAGAGAGAATTCGCTCGACGAAATTGAAGAGCATCTGCTGCCTTTGAAAAATGATTGCAGTGCAGCCTGGTGCAGCGACGTACCTGCGAGGGGCGGAATCGAGATCGCCCCGAAGCTCTGGAACATCCTCACGAGACCGTAGCTGGACGATATTTTGTCGGTGCCGTATTGATCGGCGAGCAGGACGGGAACTAGGAGAAACCAACAGCCTAGGCACAACCCGTACATGCCGACGGAACACGCCAGCACGTAAAAGGAGTGAGCCATCGGGATCGCCAAGACTGCCACACCAGCACCCACCACGCTGCTCGATGACAAAAAAAAGAGAGACCATTCAGTAAAATAATTCAATGACTACGCTCTCGTTTCGTCGCCTCTAACGTAAGAGAATCCATCTGAAGATATTTAAAACGGATCGGAATAATTAATTGTTCGTTCATTAAATATTCAGACGGAAGTGACTATGATGGTATCCCAGAATATTTCTGAGGATCCCAAAATATTCTCCTAAACGCGGTTTTTAATCTCGGAACGAGTGAAGCAAATAGAAACGATCCATAAATATTTCTTCCGGAGTCGATATTCATAATTTATCAGGATTAGATATAACGAGTTTTATTTAAAGCATAATTAATTGCGTTTATCTCCAATTAGCGTGATATATCTCGCGACGCTCACCTGCCGATATACCCTTTTCGCCGATCGAACAGCTTGAGATCCGAGAGCCAACCGAGGCCGAGCCGGCCGCACAAATCGAGAACGGCGGAGATGGCCACCAGGTAGCCGGCCTCCGATTTGCTGTAGCCGGCGGCGTGGACGTATGCCGGCAGGTAGTACAACATGTACGGGCTGCCAGTGGACATCAGACTGACGGAGAAGCACATCATGATGAACTGCGGATTCTTCAGCAGCGACAAGTCGATATAGCGCGTCAGTCTTTGCATGAACGTAATCTTAGAGTCCGTCGATCCTGCGATGCTGCGAGATGTCAAGGACGACATCCTGTTCGGCGGCGATGGCGGCGGCTGTTGCTGCTGCTGCTGTTCCGGCGGGCCCATCGCCGTCGCGGACGACTTTAGTGACCTGAGCGACGATCTGGCGGCCTTGTACACGCATGTCGAGTCCGTCGACAGGTCCTCCACGCTGTGCAGGATACTGGAGCTGCGGATCTTGGAAATGGGCTTCATACGGAGACCCTCCCCCATCACATCCTTCTCCTCGTCGCTGTCGGTCAGCTCGACCGCTACCACGCCGCTGTTCTGGTGGAACAGCTCGTTCAGCATGTTGTGCCGGGCAATCGGATCGTTGGCGAACAGTAATTCCAATTTTTGTTGTTTCGACTTCTCCTGATCCTGTGAGCCGATGAGTTATAAATTGCCATTAATTTGTTACAATCGATATCTCTCTCATTACCTACTCATTACTATATGAGTAAATCTACGTAAACCGAATGCGAAAAGTAGGATGTTTGCAATCTTTTATAAAGAAAATATATCATTATATACGTTATAAACAATCTACATATACATAATGATAAATATGAAGTAGATGTATGACATATATCAGTCGAGAACCCGATTGTACCTGCTCTTTCAGTTCCTTTTCAAACTTCTCCACCGAGACCGAGTCTTCCTCAGGGGCATAATTTTCATCCAATGGTCGGTACAGTGTCGCACTGACGCATACGTGCAGCATGCAACCGCCTAATAGCAATACCGTGCCGTGAAAGCCGAAGTCCCTCACCAGAAATTCGATCAGAAGCGGGAATACGAAACTACCCGCGGCAGTGCCGGACACGCAGATCCCGTTCGCCAGGGCGCGATGCTTGTCGAAGTATTGCGACACCAGGATTATACCCGGCGTCGTCGACAAGCCACCGCCGATACCTGCAAGGACGCGCGAGATGAAGGACTGACTGAGGGAAGAGTGTGCGGCAATAGGATTGAAATTCAAAATGCAAACCTGTCAGCACTCCAAATGTAAAAAAGAGGTGTATCAATCGCGTGGCGAAGTAACTAGTTGTAAGTCCTAGGGCGCAAAAAAGTCCTCCCACGAAAACCACCGCTCGACAGCTGTACTTCTGGCAGAGCATACTCGTCACCGGAGCTGCGAAACGAAATATCGATTTAGCACGCCTCGATTATATGTTATATTGACGCGAACAAACAAGGTCAGTTGACTACGGATTATAGGCATCAATGACTTTCGCTCGTTCCGAGCTCTTTCCGAGAAACGGAGATCGCGAAGACCCGCAGGCACCTAAATGACGAAGACGACGACTCACCAAGCGCTAGACATAGGCACGTCAGAATCGCTGGTATCCAGGACGCGACCGAGGCGGATGAGTCCTTGAAGGTCTCCATGACCTCGACGTAGAGCACGCCGTAGGACTTGACCAGCCCGGCCACCCAGAACTGCACGAAGAAGGCGCCGAACACCACGACCCAGCCGTACCCGCCGTCCAGCGGGACGTACGTGGTGTTCCGGGGTTTCCTGGTCTCGTTCCTCTGCCGGGACTTTCTCCTCTTCGGGGCCGTATACCTAGCGGATCTGGATCAGGATCGAAGCCGTTATTCGAGCGAATAGTCACTCGCAAATTACGAAAATGCGGAAACTACCCACGACTACTCTGTGTAATAAATATTTCAGCAAAATTCGACGGTTTCAATTTTTTTTTAATCTTGACTTTTGGAAATTAGTGCTGGGGAAAGTTCAAAAAAAGATTATACTAACAGTTCTTGTTTGCAAAACAGGAACAATCTGTGGTACAAATTTCACACGTGGGGAAGAAAAATATAAAATATAATAAATATAAAAGTATAAACTTAAGAAAAATGGGGATATTAGCACATAAAATTTAACGTGCACGAACTAAAGTTGAACGTACGTTTTCGATTAATTATTTGACATGTTGATATTTCCTAAAGAATATAACATTTATATATCTATTAAATTTAAATTACTACATTTTGTCAACTACACGTGTTTGATTCGTTTCCTCAGAAACGGGAACGACACGTTTTCGCATGCGACAATACCGCGATAAGCAGCGCGACGAACAATGGGGGATGAAACACGTGTGGATTGTCGGGGTACAAGCAAGCACGTACAGAATCGGTCTTGCCGATACCTGGGTCAATATACCACCCCGACAATATATTCACTCCGACACCGACCTGAGCTCCCTGGATTTGGCGATGAGCGGCCGGGCAGTGAGGCTGGATATCGTCAGCAGGTTGTCGTTGTCCTCGTCCTCGGCAACGGTGCCCTCGGGGCTCTGCAAGTGCGGCGGCACGATCGGCGTCGAGGTCGCCGTCGCCTGGACCGCCAGGGACGCCGGCCGTTTCGGCGACGGCGCCCCGCCGGTGATGCTGCTCAGGTCGAACACCGGCGCCGAGTGGATGGAGAACAGCGAGCCCAGCTGCGTCGCCGGCTGATCATTCATATTCTCGTCGATGAGATTGCTGCCGCCGGTGACAGCCATCTCCTGGGACGCCGCCGTAGGGACGCCGCCGACGCCGACGCCGCCGACGTCGACGTCCGCCAGCAGGCTCGACGCCCTACACGCGTCCTGAAAGCTCCATTCCCGTGGTAGCGACATGTTTCCTCGGCGGCGGCTTCCTCGGCGGAACCGGGGGGACCGTAATACATTGGATTGTGTTGCTTGGTTGGTCGCGCGTGGTTTATTCGATCTGGTCTCTCTGGTCTCGTCCGGCGGCTCCTCGAGCTCTTATTTCCTCGCTCTCGATCGTCACCGCCTGGCGCGCTCACCCTCCTCTCGCCTGCTTCTTCTCCACTAGTTGGAGAACGGAATTTGTCTACCTGGACGCGATGTCTATCTGTTATCGTAGGGGCGCTGTTATATCACGCAACCCTCGTTATCTTTCTTTCCCTTTTGTTTGTACCCCTCAGCCCCTCGGCAGTAGAAGGGCTTCGGTGCAGTTTGATTTGATTTTCAAAGACGAGCTCGCCCCGAACTGGGAAACTCGGCAGATAAAACTGTCAATGGTCGACGGTCAGCGTCTTTTGTCTGGCTGCCAAAGCACTTCTCCCGACTTTCTAATGTAGACTGAGACCCTCTCGATGAACACGAGTGGGGTGCGCACGCAGACTGGTGGAGGGTTGCTACTAACTGGAAATTTACAGTGGGATCGATACGTCGGTGACGCTGACGCGCAAAGGCATCTTCGCAGAAATCACCCGCGACCCACGTGCGAATGGAGCTGACAGGGAGAAAAACCACCGCGTGTGACGGCCGCGAGACAAGAGCCATCATTTTTGAACGAACGAAACTGGGTTACATGAATATGGAACTGCATGGAAGTCTTCTGACACAAAAGAGTCGCTACATTTGAAGCACTTTTTGTATAGAACGTTAACAGCCAAAATGTTGGATGGGACTTGATTATTCTGAAAAAATAAAACCCATTTAAATACATAAAATTTACTTTATGCTTGAATCTATGCAAATAAATGAGAGGTTTTTTAACGAGAAAAAGAAAAATCGAATCATTACGCTTGAAATAATTTGCGAAATAAAGTTTTGACTTTTCGAATATCTGATCGCATTGAGAAAATCGAAATTGCTTTGATTATCAAAAATAATTCTACATTTATATCTCTACGTCTAGAAATACACATTTATATTTCCAGCAAAAATTCTTAACTTTATGATAAAAGAGGAAAACAATTTCTATCCTTGAGCCACCTTGTACAGGAAATGTTAATAACCGGATAAATCATAATTATTTTGAGAAAAAAAATATTCTAATAAGCTAAAAGAATTTTTGAGAATTTTAAGAATTTGTATCGCTTTAACATTCTTATTTTAACGTTCTATTATCAGGAGATATCTGTTTGCGTAGGACTGTTTGGAATTGGAATTTTTAAAGCATGACGTTCCGTAACGTGGTCGAATAAATAAACCTATGTTTCAGAGATACAGAGATACAATAAGTATATTTCATCGAGTTATTCATAGAGATATAATGAGTACTTTGTCGAATCGAAAATCGCAGTTGTCAATTCAACTATATTAATAATCGTAAAATTTACATACCGCCGTATCATTTGTTATTTCAATCGCCGTTCCTCGACTTAAAGTAAATTGCTAATCACTCGCAAAACGTTGTTTGTCGAAAATCTCATTAGAAAGCGCATCGCATTGCGGTTTAAGCTGATTGTCTCCCAGACGTCTCGGCCTTCGCTCGTCATTACGTCATCTAGCGTGCACTGTTCGCCCTCAATTGCTGTAATTACCTGGTAACAGTAATTGTGGGAGAAGTTTGCGCAGGTTTAATCGTTTTCGCAAATTGCTGCATCCAGATATAATTTAATTATGCACGTGAATACAATTAAAAGAAAACGATTGTTTTCTATTATATTTGATCTAGTATTATTCAATATTGCTTGGTATACCATTTATATGGTATTACCAAATTATAATTTCCGAAAAAATGATCAATTTATCTCATTAAATTATCTTCCGTTGATATGAAAAAGGCTTGTAAGATAAACTTTGTACAGTATACGTAGCGAAGCTTTCATGGAAGTAGTAACAATGAAAGCAACAACAATAATAATAGAATAATGATATTAAACGTTGAGGAATATTGTCGCAGCTATAATGTTTTGATTGGCATTGTTTGAAATTGGCGATTTCGCGATCAAACCTCGTGGCGGGGGTGACTTCTACGCGCAGCATCCGACTGGATCAATGACAAATCTCCGACTACATCCCCTGCGCGCCCTCGCGCTCTATCTCGAGGCTCGGCATTAGCGCTTGGGCTGTTCCAAAGTGCGCTTCCCTCGGGCGTGGACCGGTTTTGACATGTAATAAATAGTAGTAGATTCTCTGAGTGGATCCTTGGAGATCCGTCTCGCTCCAGATCCAATCCGACGAGATATCTAAAATAGGGTGCATATATTAAAGCGTCAGAAATTATATTGTGAGTAAAGCTGTTTAAGTTTCCTTTTAAGATACGCGAACTGCGACTAAAACCCAGTGCAATTTTCGATAACAACAGCGATTATCATTTCTAAATATGTGTGTTTGTACAATGCAAGGAAATAAGTTAAATTATACTAAAACACATAAACCTTGAACATAAATAAGTATCGAGGATGAGCAAAACGTGTAGAAAAGCACGAGTTGAAATAATATTTTGTTTGACGTTACAAAAATATGAGGAACTTTCATCGCGAAAATGGGCGGAGGCTGTTTATTCTAGGAAAGGATGCAAACTCGTTAATGACCCAGTTATTCTTTTGATATAATAAATGATAAAATAGTCTCTTCATAAGCTTATTTTAAAAAATGGAATCTGGCGTCTAATATCGAAAAATATCTAAGATCATAAATTGTAATAAAATATATTAATTTATTATATTTGAAGAATAAAAAACCAATTTTTAAATATTTTATAATTTAGACAAGTTATATTAAAATATCAAACACTATTAATATTAATTTCTTTAAATTAAACTAAAAAATATATATTTATAATATCTAAAATCATTGATAGTTTACTAATCAATTGTTTTTTGTTTAATTATTATAATATTATAATCTTAATTCTAGCAAAAAAATTAAATAATAATACAAATAATATTCTCACCTCAAACAAAATTCCAGTATCAATCGTCAAAAAATTAGTAACTCGTTGATTTATCGTGAGGATTTGTTTACAGGGCTACACAATGAAGAAATTACGGGTGAAGACTATACTGTCACTCATCTTCATTATCTTGCACAATGCTCCGCGTTTAGGACTCGTACTCGCCAGGACTATGACCCATAACAATCCAAGATTCTTCAAGATCGGCGGCGTTCTCTCCAATGTTGACAGCAAAGAGCACTTCGAGAAAACGATTGACGTAAGATTAATAATAATATTATATAAAACTTACGATATATATATGATAAAACTCTCTCTTGATTTACAATAATAAATGTTAAATTTATCTCTAAAAAGAGTTCTATGCATTATAATATGCTCTTGTACATTATATCTATTCTCTACACGTATATATATAAATACATATATACCTCGATTTCAGCATCTCAATTTCGATTCCCAATACGTCAATAAAGGGGTAACATACAAGCATACGGTAATCGAGATGGACTCCAGCCCTATAAGAACCGCATTGAGCGTCTGCAAATCTTTGATAGCCGAACAGGTGTACGCGGTGGTGGTGTCGCATCCGCTTACAGGTGACTTATCACCGGCAGCGGTTTCCTATACGAGCGGATTTTATCACATACCCGTGATCGGTATATCGTCCAGGGACTCAGCCTTCTCGGACAAAGTATGCAGGATGTAACAAATCAAATTTAATTTAATAATCGACATGGAAATTAAGGCAAATTAATATAGAATCAATGCAAAAAAACAATCTGAAAAAAAAAACAGCATTCTTTGCGCAAAAGTAAAACAAAGGTATTTTTTTCGTTTAAGTTCCATACAAGCTTGCAATGTTTTTGAAAAAATTAATTTAAAAAATTGGAAAATTAATGTATTGCGTATATTTTATATTATCCAAATGAAAAGCGATTGGTTCCACATTGTGTTCAATCGCAGTAACTAAATGATAATGTCCTTCCAGAACATCCATGTTTCATTTTTGCGCACTGTACCGCCGTACTCTCATCAAGCGGATGTCTGGGTGGAACTGCTGAAGCACTTCAACTACATGAAGATTATCTTCATCCATAGTTCCGACACGGACGGCCGCGCGCTCCTCGGACGTTTCCAGACGACATCGCAGAATTTGGAGGATGACGTAGAGATCAAAGTGCACGTACGTTGCATATTAGTTTGTACGTGTTATTAATTCGTCATGTTAATTTTACGAAATATAATTACTTTAGCTATTAGGTACACTAATTAGATATTTATAGACTTACATTTTACCAGTAGCTGTGTAATTTCCTCAATAGTTATAGAGAGACGAATTTCCTGTTACTAGATCACTGTTTCAGGTCGAATCAGTCATCGAGTTCGAACCGGGATTGCACAACTTCGAGGAGCAATTGAGGGAGATGAAAAGCGCACAGGCGAGGGTCTGCCTCATGTACGCCTCGTGAGTATCGTAACTTGACATTTACAAATCTCGTAAAAATGGGAAATGTCAAAGAGTAAAATTCTAAAATATGAGAAACAAAACGATCTGTAACCACACGACGTTAACAGTAACATCGTCTTACAATTTTTAAATTTCTGATCATTTAACATCGATCTTGTACGCGAACCTTGGTTGCGGAGATAAATTAAATGAACTTCCCTGAACAGGAAGAAGGACGCGGAAGTGATCTTCAACGACGCCGCCAATCTGAACATGACCGGCGCCGGATACGTGTGGATCGTCACCGAGCAAGCGTTGGACGCGCCGAACGCGCCGGACGGCTTGCTGGGGTTGAAGCTGATCAACGCTACCCAGGAGAAAGCACATATAAGCGACAGCCTGTTAGTATATCTACTGTCCGGCTCGGTCCGGATCACGTTGCACATCTACCTTCAGTTTCCCTGGAATCGATTTTTTTGTTCTAAGCTTATTTTAGATATCATACATCTCTCTCTCGTATAATTAAAGATAAGGATTTCTTACCTCAAAGAAATTTCAAATGGCTCGAATTAAAGACTTGTCCTCCCTGCATTTGTTTATCTACGTGTTTTTTTAGATACGTCCTCGTGTCCGCGTTGCGAACGATGAATCAGACAGAGAGGATCACCGAGGCGCCGAAGGACTGCAGCGATTCCGGCTCCATATGGGAAACTGGCAAGACTCTTTTCCAGTAAGATCGCATTATTGTTTCTCACGCCTAATTCTCTGAGGAATTTGAAACTTTTTCTTCCCACAAATCTCTGGTAGCAATGGAGATTCCATTCCATCGCGTTCCCCTTATTCTTTGTTACTGTCTCTTTAGGTATATTCGCAAGCAAGTATTACCGCATGGTTCGACGGGTCAAGTGGCGTTCGACGATAACGGGGACCGCATATTCGCCGAGTATGACATAATCAACATCCAGTACACAGGTCCAGACAATAACAAGACGCAGGTGTCCGTCGGGCAGTACTTTTATCCCGCTGTAAGTAGACAATTCGGAGTGAGCGAAGAGATCAGTGAATACAGGAAGTATTTATAATTAGATAAACACTTATTAAATATGTAATGATCGCAGCTGATTGCATCTTGCGTAAAATATCACGTCTTGAGTCAAGAACTACAGAACAACCTTTTCGAATGTAATGTTTCTTTGTTGCTGGGTAGAACGGCACCAAGATGAAGCTGCGAGTCAACGAGTCCAACATCATATGGCCGGGTCGTTTGAAGATCAAACCCGAGGGTTTCATGATACCCACGCATCTAAAAGTACTGACGATCGAGGAAAAGCCGTTCGTTTATGTTCGCGAATTACCCGACAATGAGATAAAGTGTCTACCTGAGGAGATCGCTTGTCCGCACTTCAACATGACGGACGGTGCGTTATTACTCTTCTACTAATCAACAGGACAGCAAGAACTTGATTTTAATCTCTGATTAACTTACTGAATAATACCTGTGCTAGTTTATTAGCTTGGATAGAACTATTAATTTTCAAACATTATATGGAAAACGAATTAAAAATTATGCTGCAAGCCGATCGAATTAATCACCAGTTAACTTAATCAAAATTTAATCCAAGTTTTCTCGAAAATTAGTCGCGATAATAAACATTGCATCAGCTCAAACTAGTCTTCAATGTTCCCGCTGAGAAAAAATTAACCAGATCAACTATATTCGAAAAATTATACTATCTGGGAAATATAATATAATGTAATTCACTTTTTTCTTTTCAACAGATAAGCAAATGTTTTGTTGCAAAGGATACTGCGTGGATTTATTAAAAGAGCTGGCGAAAATGATTAACTTCACATACAGTTTAGCCCTGTCGCCAGACGGTCAGTTTGGCAGCTACGTGATCAAAAACACCTCGGGTAAGTGATTGAATTATAGAATTATATATAAATATAAATATATTAAATTTTTAAAGAAAATATAGAATATATATATAGATCTATCTATTTAGTTTCCAAATTAATTCTTAGACAACGGAAGATTAATGATTTAAATCTCTATCTTGTGTTTTTTCTTGTTTCTTCCTCGCGTTTCGACATATGTATCAAAAGTCGGAGGAAAAAAAGAATGGACGGGCCTTATTGGCGAGATAGTCAACGAACGGGCTGACATGATCGTCGCGCCTTTAACGATCAATCCCGAGCGTGCCGAGTTCATCGAATTCAGCAAACCGTTCAAATATCAGGGCATCACTATCCTTGAGAAGAAGGTAAGTGTCTCCTCTTTCTTAATTTTGTACAAAATAAAAATGTCGCGTATATTTTATGCAAAAATAAACAAAGAAATATATTTTTCTGAGTTCAGCCTTCGAGATCATCGACTCTGGTCTCCTTCTTACAACCGTTCAGCAACACCCTTTGGATCCTCGTGATGGTATCGGTACATGTAGTCGCGCTGGTTTTGTACCTGCTCGATCGATTTTCACCCTTCGGCAGATTCAGACTGGCCAACACTGACGGCACCGAGGAAGACGCCCTCAATCTATCCAGTGCTATCTGGTTCGCTTGGGGTGTATTATTAAACAGCGGTATAGGAGAGGGTAAGGTATCTTTCTTTCATCCCATTTTCGTTCATTTAATCGGACGTCTCACTTGGAGGGAGAAACGCTAGAAAGGAAAAAGATAATTCAAAATTTAAAGTCCATGCCGAAGAGTATCTTTAAACTGGCTCTCTTGTATTAGATCTAGATCATTTTTCACATTACCATTTAATTAAATTTTGTATTTATGAAGGTACCCCACGGAGTTTCTCCGCGCGCGTGCTGGGAATGGTGTGGGCCGGATTCGCTATGATCATCGTCGCATCGTACACTGCCAACTTGGCGGCGTTCCTCGTTTTGGAACGACCAAAAACTAAGCTCACCGGCATCAACGATGCTCGAGTAAGAACCAAGATTAACTATATATTTTACTTGTCGAAAAATACACCGGGAACAAAAGATGAATGTATCCGATGTGCATTCCCTGATATGAATATCTGCGATGCATGTAAAGCTCAGGAACACGATGGAGAATTTGACGTGCGCGACGGTGAAGGGATCCGCCGTGGACATGTATTTCAGACGCCAGGTAGAATTGTCCAATATGTACCGTACAATGGAGGCGAATAACTACGACACTGCCGAAGACGCGATTCGCGACATTAAAATTGGGTAAGCGGTAGACGCTTCGGTTTTTGAGATCGTCAATTCTCCGCTTAAGTTGAAAACCTTCAATGCATATTACGTGATCATGGTGATTTCTTTCTCTCCAGGAAATTAATGGCGTTCATCTGGGATAGCTCGCGATTGGAGTTCGAAGCGGCTCAAGATTGCGAATTGGTGACGGCTGGCGAATTGTTCGGCCGCTCGGGTTACGGAATCGGTTTGCAAAAAGGATCTCCTTGGGCGGACGCTGTGACATTGGCGATCTTAGACTTCCACGAAAGTGAGCGCAACAATTTTCGACGTAAAGCACTTTACGCTCGCGCGTTGCCATATTTTTCTGTACAGCAAGATTTGTTATTTCCGCTAATTATGATTCTTGTTATGCCAATCATGATGATGTGGCAATCTGAAACGTTAAATATTAAATAATATAAATTATATGGAGAAACATATCAAATTTAATTTTATGTTAAGTTCAATTTAATAATATTATATAATTTGCGTAATAAAAATAAATATTAATCGCTAGCAATCACTTTTTACAGGTGGTTTCATGGAAAGCCTCGACAATCTTTGGATCTTGCACGGTAACGTGCAACAATGCGAACAGTTTGAAAAAATGCCGAACACCCTCGGTCTAGAGAACATGGCAGGGGTGTTTATCGTCGTCGGCGTCGGCATCGGCGGCGGAGTCGCTCTAATTATAATCGAAATGGCATACAAGAAGCACCAAATACGTAAACAGAGGAAGATGGAACTGGCAAGACACGCGGCCGACAAGTGGCGAGGGATGATCGAGGTAATTTAATTTAATCAACTTAAAGAAGTCGACAGAGGGTCGACTTAATCAAATTACGTCGAATTAATCGAAGTAATTAAGTTATTCCGATCGATTGGACGCATTGCTCTCGCTTCTCAAAATTATTTATTAAGACATTTCTTAAAGTTATCCGTCAAGAACTTGTCAAAATCTACTCTTTAGCACTCTTATATGTCTATCTCTACCAATACAGATTAACTTTAATCTTTTTCTAATTTTTAGAACTAGGAAAAGATAAGAAATAAGTTAAACTAAGACTAAAATTAATCTACATTGGTAGAAATTGATATTAATTGTAGACCGCAACGTATTTCGTAAACTTTTAAATATTCGTATTGTTTCGTGAGCAGAAGCGGAAAACTTTGCGGGCGTCGATAGTCACGCAGCGAAGGATCCAGAGCAACGGCCTGAACGATCCCGCGACGGTGAGCCTGGCGGTCGACACGGTCGCCAGGTCGAACGTGGGCTCGCGCAGCCCAGGTCGCGCTTGGCCCGGTGACAGCGATCTGAGACAACGGCCGATCTCCCGCTCCGACGACATCCGATTGTCGCCCGCCGCCTACACTGCCGACGTGTCGCATCTCATAGTCTAATCTTACGTTGATTTGTAGTTTTTTACCGAATAAGAAGCGTCGTCGCCGAACGTTCCTAGTAGACCGATTACACCATGGGATGAAACTGATTCTAATATCTTCCTCGCATAGCGGAATACGATCGCAGGGTGATCCGTATATAATCGGCGAATAGCTGTGGGATATATTTGAGATGATTAATTGTTCGCTTGTTAGATGTTTATAGAAAATTGTGATGGACTACCTTAAAGATATCTCTGATATTTATTGAATCGTTGCAGATGTTATTTGTTTTATATCTAAATGATTTTGAGATGATTTAATTTTTCGAGAAAATAAATTGTATGTAATTGAAAGATTCAATAATGTTTAATAATGTTAGTCATATTCATGTGAATATGTTAAAATGTGGGAAAGTGTTTTTAAATAGACTATTAATTTACTTTATTTGTTACAACGAGAAAGAAACATTGTGCTTGTATACACGTATATGTATGTATATTTATTATAGATATATCATGGACGTTTTGTCGATTGTGGAGATATATTATGTTAAAATATGACCAATTTGTTTCACATAGGACTATCCTTTTAGACTTAAATCTATTAAGATTTTCCGGCATAAAATTATTAAATCACTTTATCAATATGGTATAAATTCTTCGAAAACAGGAATTGAAATTATTCTTGGTGCTTATATAAAACTACAACAATTTGGCATAGAAGAACTTAAATATCCAAGTGAATGAAATAGAGAATGAGTACCAGTTAGTCTTCAGGAGTATTCAACTAGCCAGTGACAGATCTAACGATATCCTGCTGTAGGCGAAGGTAAAGGCGTAGAAAAAGGGTACCTTGGTGTTGCCGAAGGATAGCTTGATGTCACAGAGGCATATTCTGATGTGGAAGAAGGAGAACTCACAGTTGGGCAGGACTGCAGTTTGAGGAATGGAGACGGAAGGAAGGTTGACTCGGAAAGTTTTGCTGTTCAGTGAACGTTTCGCTGGACGCACTAGCACTAGCCGAACTTGAAGCGGTCGCGAAACGTGAGCCACCAGCTAGATCGCTCAACTTCATCACACCCGGATGAACGTAACATTCAAAAGACGAAATAACTTCTTGCAACTTGAAATAACAATAAAGGAAACGGTCAAAAGGAATGGAAATAAATATTTCGTAGCTTAAATTTATTTTATTTTATTTTCTAAAGATTTCACACGATAGAGGTGGGCTAACATATGAGCCAGCTGTTTCTTAAAATTTAAAATTTAAGCCAGATTAAAAAAAAAACATCGAAAATCGAAAAGCAACATTCTATAATTGATCGAATGTCAATTAAAAGTATTTTTTTTTTCAGTTCACTATTATCTTCAAATTTAGCAATTTTTTAACTTATGTATTAAATTTCTTGATCTTTTATCATTTAGTAGTCAACTGCTTTGCTTAAGTTTATTGATCAATTTTTATTTCCAATAAAAATTCAAAAAGTTACCTTTTCATCGTTATTAATTTCGTTATTTTTACGTATTTAGAGGATCATGACTCAGAGCCAAACCCACAGAGGAATAACGCTGTCGAAATCGAAGATATCGGGCTGGCCGACGTGCGAAACGTTGGGGAAAGTTGTCGACCATCGGAAGGGCTGCGTGGAGCCCGGTATATTCGGTCCGGAAGTGGCCTCGAAACTTTCCACCCCGTCAGCGTCGGCCAGTATGATTTTCGTGTCGATTATGCCGAACGGTATATCAACTTTCTCCAGGTCTCCTCTGTTGGTTGAAATCCGTGCCTGATCCTCATTTTCTATGGTGGACTTCTCGTGACTGTATCCTCGCATCAGCCTCCTAAAGTGTTCCGTCGTAGTAATGTTGCTCTGCAGTCTCGCGACAAGCTCGCTTTTCGCCACATCATCGTTCTCTTCCTCATTCTCGCTGATCCCCACGTTGGTTTCGCGAAGATGTTCACCGACGGTCCAAAGCACGTCAGTGTCGGCAAACCGCTCGCTGATATCCACCGTGCGGATAAGCCCCGATGATTGCTCGACAAGCCAGACAATGCCGTCGCGCGGTTCCACGGTGACCCAATGTCGCGCTACATTAGCACCATTTTGCAATGACATGCTGCGAGACCAGGAATATCCGTTTACTGCCAGACGATTCGCCGCCATCACCCTCGCGGATGACATCACCTGTGGAAGAAGGAAGTTAATGCACTGACTATTAACATAAGAAAGCAATAATGGATAATAGAAGTCGATTCAAAATTTATATTATTTCGTAAATTGCCTTATTTAAATATTTTCCGACGCACATGCGCACATATATCTGCAATAAATTAAATTGTAGAAATTGAAGTGTAAAAAGTTTTTCGCTCACCTGATTCTTCGTACTCATGAGATTCCACAGGCTGCGATTAGTGACTGTCAGTGGCGTTGCAGCGATAATCAGTTCGCGATTATCTCCTTGGACCAAATAGAACTCGTCGTGAGACGACAGAGCACCGGGGTAAGATGACATTATGATAGATCTGCTTGGTACCGGCGCGGAAGTTTTCGAGAACGGCAGAACATGGTAACCAAAGGTATATTTCTTCAGCAACCTCAACATCTTAGCGTATCTGTAAGAGAAATGTGAGATGATAGCTTCAATATGCCGCGTAATTGAGAAGCGCTTTTATTTATCAGTATGATACTATACCCACATTCGATCTTCCTCGCAGCAAAAAAATGCAAAAGTTACAAATTAAAAATTATTCTTCTCATATTTTGATATAAAAGCAATCTTTACACAAACATCTTTATGTTTTAAGTCAATTTTCTCTTCAATTATTTTATTTTTCTTCATATAAGTCATATTTCTTACTAAAAATATATATACTGAATAATAACAATAACTTACGGTGCAGCAGTGGTATGTCCAACAGCTATCAGCGGATTTAGTCCTTCACGGGATAGGCTTTTCAAGAAAATCATGCTTTTGATGTAATCGTGATAGGATTCAGAACCGTTCAGCGCTCGCTCGAGATCCGGTAGATCTGCAGCCATTGCCAGCCAGAGGAAATCTTCTTTGTCCATTTCCACTGGCTGCCGACTGCGACGAACCGCGAATCTCCAGCCAGCCTCCAAACCGTCCAGTTGAACGTAGAATAGCCGCACCTATAAATTGAAAATAACAGCGGTTTACAACTACATGCATATCCTCGAAATCGAAAAAAGTAAGTTTGAAATATTCTTTTTAGGTTTTAACTACCTATACAATATATCGAGTACATGGGCAATTATTGGCTGGCTTTTTTTTTAATTTAAAAATAATAAAAGTAAACACATAATCAAAATCTTTAGCATAAAAAAATAAATCTCCTTATAAAAAATTTTATTAAATTCAAGAAATATTCCAAGTCTAATCCATAATTTTAATTCCCATATGTTGCTTACCATGTGCCAAAATGGATCCGTGGCTGACAAGTGCTCGGCACGTTCGCGGACAATGGCGGTGTTCTCGCGAAGGAATCGCATCAGTTTCTGGCATTCGCCTTCCCATTTTTCACAAACAACGTTGACGGTATTGTGCCAATGATGGTGGATTATTTGCCATGTCAGGCTACCCTCTAACAAACCGGCCGCGTAAGCTTGCACGGTGTCCGGATATTTCGATGACGTTTCTATTTCGATGATGGACCATCTGGAATATATTCGACATGCTTATTTTAATTAATCCATATCAAATGTAAAATCTGCAGAATATTCTGATTTGATGCGTGCGAAGCGGATGTATGGTTTCTATGGATTACGATTTACATTGAAAGATATACGATTATTTACATGATTATAAATATAGAACCATCCGCGGGAAAAGAACTGCTACATTTCTACTATTAGAATGTATATATTCAATCGTACTAATCACATATAATTAGACTTGTTAAAAACATATATATTTTATAATATAATATTAATAGAATAAAATAAATTAAAATTATTACGATTCTCTCAAATTTAAAACGGGAAAGAAACTGATTTATTAAACGAGATTAGGAATAATCTGCTTCTTTGACGACGCCGCGAAAGCAAATATCTCTACAGAAACGATGACTGTACATTTTCTTTGCTCAATGACATTGACCTACCCAGATTCAAATATGCCGGTCTTGTAATAGGCACGGGCAGCATTCAGTCGCACATCGGCGAGGTCGTTGCCTTGACCCCAAAAATCGATGCGATATCCTCCCTTGTGATTCCACGATACGGTAGCCGAGTAGGTTCCATCTTTCTCAACACTGCAAACGCATTACCGTTCAGAAAAATTTTAAGGAAGGCATTTTCATCCCTTATCCCTTCGAAATTAATTTCTATGCGGCTGATATTTTTATTCACGTCTGATACGAAGAGCTCCATAAAATAAAAAGTAGAAAAAAATTGATTAAACTATAAATTAATCGTGCTCTGGTACTAAAATAAAAAAAATTATAAAAAGTGAAATTTACTTTTGAAAGACTACTCATAAACAGCAAGTGATAATTCGTTATTAAATCTTTAAATTTATAATTACTGTAATTTGCGGCAATTTGAATAAATCTGTTACGAATTATTTATAAATAATTAAGTGTCTATTGAATGTTTTGGGGATTCGTAAACGTGAAATCTGCAGCTAATGCATCGTACATGCACATTATGTTTCACCTGTTATTGTTCAATACGAAAAATTTTAATGGACTTGACTACCTGAGATCGTCAGGAAAATTAAAAAATTACTGTCGACTCACTGTCCATATTCGCTGAAAATAATGGCGCCGATGCCGAGAAGAGCGACGGCGACGAGGATGTAGGTGGAGATGCGCGTCTGCAGCCACGAGGCTCCGACCACCTTCAGCATGGCTCATCGGTAAGCTACACACCTTGATAACGAAAAGAAGAAAATGGCAAAGAGCGTTCTCAACCCATCGATTACCGACGCCTGATCCGCCGCGGGCTTTCTATGGCGCTTCTTCAAGGACCGTCCGTAGCTGCAGGTCCCTTCCTGGTCCCTATAACAATATAGAAATTTGTAGAAACCACATCTGGCTATCCCTCTTCTACCTAACTTCATTTTAACTAAATCTACCATGTGCAACTGTGTCAACGTATCGACCTATGTCAATTTTCATTCAAATTACCATTGCAGAAATCGAATATTTAAATGTCTCTTCCTTTTGATGGTACATTAAAATTGTAGAAAATTGTAACGTCCTATAATCAAAGGCTTCTGCCTTTCTCAGATCTATATGGATGTGCGGAAAGCGGAAACAAGGGAAAATATAACAATGTGAATATTTTGCGTTGCTCAGAAATAATAATGAAAGTCGATTATCTGAAACCGACGTTTACAATTCGGTATTTCGGATTTTATGTTTTACAAGTGCATTTGAACGTGGAAGTTCGGCAATAAGTATAAATAATTCCTGGAGAAGATAGGGAATTGCTATCAGATTAGTCACTTGCAAATCAAAGATGTCTAGCTCTCGCTCTCATTATCGCTTAACAATAAGATTAGACTCTCCAGAGGACATCGTCATGCACTTACTAATTATTTTATCAATACCGTTATGCGACGTATTGTGTAATCGTTTATCTACAGCTGAGGTCACGCTCTTCGCGAAATACGATATGACAGACATTTTTCCAAAAAATCGCACACGATTTCAACTTTCGACAGATTAAGCGGCGTTTATGCGGGACTGAGTCCATAAAGCAAAAGCTGTTTTCCTTCTCCTGGACACGAGAGAGGTCCAGTCTGTATTCCATAATCTATTTAATTAGGGGGGATCATGCAAATAAAAAGTTCTGTAAAAGACGACGCGAAAAAAGAAATATAGCAGAAGCCAGAATGTTCGGAACGCGCGTCAAGTAACAATCTAAAAATAATAATTGTCTGCTAGTACATACGTATTCTGTCGCAGACGCAAAATCTCCGTTCTCGAAGCGTCACGGTTTGCGACTTGCGAAATATACTCCGCAAATAGTGCTTTGCGCGTCATCGGGTTTTGTTAACACTTATCGCCTCGTTGGTGACTTAGCGACAAGTACAGACAAATATTCACAAGATGATACGATAAAAGTAGTATGCTAATTAACGCGTTTTCTCTTATCAACGGTGTACCTATATATCGCATGACAATGTATTCTACGTAATTTTCACGTTAAGAGTAAATTTCCATAAAAAGAGAAGGAAAAAAGAAACGTTATATAAAACCGGCGAATAGCATTAACTCAATTATCTCATTACAAAGTATAAACGAGCGTGCAAATGTGTCATTGTGAATTGATTTACTATCGTGGAAAATTTCGCGGAACGTGCCAGTTTTACAGAATTATTAGCAGATAAGCTATTCGCGTTTCAAAGGCGTCCTCGTTATCAGGAAGGAGTGCTGCACGCTTATCACAGTGGCGTATCAAATATTTAATCCTTCCGCCAGCGCGGAAGAAATTATCCTTATATGTGAAAATTTTTACGTATGTTATATATAATAAAATTCTGTGCAAATAAATAAGAATTCAGTAGAGAACATTTCATTAACAAATTCAACACTCGAGTATTATTGATTATCTGCTAATTATATTCTGTTAATTCCATTTTCTTCTCCTAATAATTATTAATGGCATAATTTCATATTATAATTAAATAATCAATCTACAAGATTAACAATTATCAAAGTTATATTTTTATAATGTTTTACATAATTATCGCATATTTGTGTACGTGTGTGTTAATATATCTTTCTCTAATTTTTCATAAATATTCATTGCCGGTTAAAGAAAATTAAGATAATATTAAAAAATATCCTATTAACTTGCACATTTCTGTGGAAAAATTTCGAATTTTTATCATACTTATATCTAAGTCATCGTCATTCTACCGGTAACCGTTACTGACAATAAAAAGTTTGCGGCGGCGACCGTGAAGCCGCCGCCGCGCGCCGTCGCGACGGATAGACTGGCCTCGTGTATGCCACGTGCTTAAAAATATCATGTGAACAATATTATGCATCGACACGCAAATGAATGTTACGCAAATTCAACGCGGAAATACCAGAACAGTCCCGGAAAAGCAGCGTGAGCAAGAACAAACATTAAAAGATAAGATTGCAAGGCAAAAATTATTCTGACGAAGATAATTAATTAAAAAATCGACAAAATCTTGCGATTTACATTTTTCATTATATTTTACGTTCTTATTATCCCTTTATGTATTATCTTTCAAGTTTTAAATTAAAATTGTTGCTCATAATTGGCAAATCAGTCGACTAGTAAATATCTGGAATTGAGAGAACACAGACGACATGCGTTCTTCATCAGAAAATTTTCCAGCTGTCGGAATCGAAGGAAGTAGAGAAAGCTCATCGCTTGTCCTAGAAATTTTACAATGCCAAAACGCTCCACCGTTAAACGATCGTCTCTCGTAACCGGTTTAAATCTATTAAATTTAATTTTTCCTATGTAACTCTAGAAAAGCATATTTCGCTCCAATTTTTCGCAAGAATTATTTTCGCGCGTTTCGGGAATCTCAGTTTTGCTGGATCGTCGATTTCGCCATGTGATGGAGGCCCACGTGGCTTTCGCATGACTCATTCGTTCGTTCATTCATTCGTTCACACACTCACCCTGGATGAAATTTGGCAGACTGAATTGCAGCGCGTCGTACACAGGTAACGAATGGGTCATCGGGCACGGATTACATTCCTCGCGCGTATGTGTGGTATACGTGTGCTCTGGACTGGTCGCTCCGACACTCCAATCCAAACGCGATCGCTCGTCTCTCCCGACTGTCGACGGACTCGCCGCCAGCTGGCCGTCAGTATTTCCACTTCCCTTCCTCTCCGTCCCTTTCATCATCATCAATTCGCCGTGCCCCACTATAGCCACGGGTCGCGTCAGCGTCCTGATGTTGAAGTCGGAGCGATAAAGAATGGAGAGTGCAAGAAAGATGGCTGAACGCACCCGTGGAAGTCACATGAGAGGGTCCCAAGGCACGACCGGCCGACCGTCGATTTCAATCCAAGCCCAACTGAGAAATATACCTGAAAAATAATGGAAGAAGATGTAGTGATTCGACTGAGCGAATAACTTCTTAAATTTCACAATAATTTTTGTATCGAAGCAGCAGAATGCAATTAATAAACTCGATGCGAAGAGACAAGTATATATACTGCAATAACTTCAAGAGGAACATATCTTCACAATAATGAAGAAGTCAAATAAAGAAATTATAAATATCAAATTCAATTTCTTTTAATTCATTTCAGTATATCTATTATTCCCAGCATCACGGTAGAAGTTAAAGAATACAAGAAATTCTACATTTATCAGTGATTTCATTGGGATCAAATTTCTCTTAGTTCCAGTTTGCCATCTATTTTTTAAAAAATTCCTTTTTATACGAGATGAGTTGTTTACTGCGAGCGATAGTTTTACGAGCTATGATTGATTCTAATTGTTAAGCGAGGGCAGCTGTTTCGCCACAGGCACTTCACAGGCGCGTCATAACGAAGACTATCAACAATAATATATAAAACACTTAAAGCGCACATTCCATCAATTACAATCAATTTACACGAAAAGTTTCTCAAGTTTCTTTCAAATAGTCGTCTAAATATACTATTTTGTAACTTGAAAAAGCTACAAATTACACTTCGCAAAAGTTGAAACATATTTTTATATAAGAATCATATCATTTTAATGCTGCTAGATTATTAAAAAGTGCTTAGTTTATAAGTGTTTCGCGATAATAAGATTTTCGAAATACATTTCTCGTATACAACAATCTAATGATAATCGTCTTAATTATGTGACAATTCTCACGTTTCACTGACTGCTTGTGTTATTGCGTAAGCAGATGTAACGCTGATCAACGCGAAAAAATAAAACACAGCTAAAAATAATTCGCATTTTCACTTACTTCACGATCGACATTCCTAAAATCCATCTTCCTCGCACGAATTGTTTCCATTAATCACGCGTAATAAAGAGCCTCTGCCGCAATAAGTTGCCTGGAATTTCTTGATTGCAGTCCGGTCGCAAGGCACGCTCCACAAATGGAATGCAATATAAGTTCCTCGGAATATATTCGTATATGAAGACGTTCTCCCTTTCTCCAGGCAGGATTTCGTAAGAGACCCTTCTTAATTCTAATCGCAGATTCTTCGATCTGAAAAATCAAGTTTTCTTTATTCATTTATATTCAAAAGTAGAATATAGAAAATTTGTCTCTAGAGAACGAAGATAAATATTTATACGTAATTATAAATCTTTAAGTGGCAAAAAGTATTGTGGCAAAAGTTGCTGTTAGTTATTAATGATTTATAAATAATCCAATAAAATATCAAGATATTTGTAGCTTTCAAATTATGAGTGATTAAAAAAGCTGAAAGTTTTCTTTTATAATTTATAAACTGCTTTAAAAGATCTGTCAGAGATAAGCTCTAAATTGGCAATCTGTGACAGTTAATTCCCTTCTCTTTTATTAATCAAGTTATTGGAAATTGCCGCCGTCTTCTTAATCAATCTAAAATGAGCTTACGTTCATATAAATTAATTTTACTTTAAAATCAAAATCTTACCTCTCTGGATTACTTATATTTGAATATTTCAAAATATTTGCATTATAAATTCCAACACTTTAGAATATTTAAAACAAGAACGGATAAAAATTCATAATTACATTCCGTATAATTCAACAAAATAAACTCACTTCGAAAAAGCACGAAAATTCTTCTCTATTGTACTGCAATATCTGTAAAAAAATAACTTACATTACAAATTAAATTCTTATTATTTTTTTGAAAAACATGTGTATAATGCTAAACAGAAATACAAATATTTAAATATTCTATGATAAACAAAATTTAAATTCGATTAAAAGTTAAACTAATATTAATTTTTATTTCTCAGACAAGTCAAACAACGATCATACACGCGACTCTAGATAAAGAGCGAAGGGGTGTTCCATTTGTGAACCAATTCTCTCGAGCTTGCGCACCCCGCGTCATTCCGCAAGCGCGGAGTCCTGCGAGATACGAAAGTTCGCAGTAAGGATCTTCAGTGTAGATCCATCCTTTGCCGACTCCGTGATACAACTCTGTATACTTCATAAACGACGTTCAAGAAATCAGAATAAATTTGACATAAAATCCGAGTTAACAAAGCTCGGCGAGTTCGCTGAATCGCTTCGTAGGCAGATTTTAAGAGAATTTGGTTACATTAATGATGATGCTGTTTCTGCTGGTCGCTCTCGCGGGCATTCACTCGGGTTGGTCCCGACGCGAATCCTCGCTCGGTGAAAACGCAGCTGAGAACGCGGTGCATACAGTTCCGCTCGGCTCGGAGGCGACTTTCCACTGGAGGTGCGATTTTTAACAAGATCGTTCGCCATTATAATCGCTTATCTGCAGGAAAAGATATAATTTTAATTTGAAACTTGTACATAAACTCTCCATGCGTGTGTACTATGACTTGTAATTCTTTTTCTTATTTTTAGTTATTTAAAGACTATCAATATCATTATAACTTTTCTTAGTTTGTGATTCGTTTTCAGAGTGGATCTAATGAACAAACAGGCGATCGTGGAGATTCATTACGTCGGCAATGATAGCACCTGGTTCGCGATCGGATTTTCCGACTACGGAGAATTGAAACCGGCTGATTACTGCGTCTTGTGGCCTGACTGGCACCAACAAATTCATCTTCAAGTAAAATATTCGGTGATGTAAAGCATTAAATCGTTGTATACGAAAAAATTGATTTTATTTTTGTCGATAATCGGCAGGATTCGTGGGCGGATGTCGACGGGAAATTGCATCTGGACACCCAGCAGAACTGCGAGAACTTCGCATGGAAAAGACGCGGTAATATCATGAAATTCACATTCTCCCGCAAGTTCGATACTTGCGACGAGCATGATTATATCATTGAGGTGAGTATGACTTTTCATATCTATGTGATTTGAAAACCTGCGAAGCGACTAAAAGAATATTGTCATTTTAATGTAACACGTAACAATCATCGTTAGACTTGAGAGAGTTGAGATTTTTAAGTCTAGCTTTTAAGTCTATATAAGAGCGACCTTTACAGAAATTTAATACTGGAAGGTAGTGATTAATTACTTATTTTGAGTATTAAAAAGCACTGTTGTTAAGTGCTTTTGACACTCAAAATAAGTAATTAATCACTATTTTCCAGTATTAGATTTCTGTAACGGAAGACAAATTTTAAAATGTTTAAGCGTTTGATTCACATATTCCAGTTGAGCGATGCCTTTGTCCAGAGACAGAGAAATCGTAAGAAGTTGGAATGTGAAATGTTATTTTTCTTTTCTTTTCTTTTTTTTTTTTAGAGAGGCACCACGCACCTAGTGTGGCTCCGCGGTCGCGGACCGCTGTCCTCCTTGGCTGGCCTTGAGATATCGGACGCAAAATCGTCAGGCATGTCCCGTACCGAGTTGCACAGGGTATCCCATAAAAAGCCCAAGTTCCCCGCGAACGCCTGGCAGCTCGAATTACTCGCCCATCGGGTTCAAGTGCCGAAGGAGGAGACCACTTATTGGTGTCGTGTGCATAAGTTGCCGTCAGTATTAAGACAGAAGTGCGTATTAGATATGCAGTAAATTAGTGAGATCTGCATACTTCATCGATGATATCTTTTTATTACTTTATTCTTGTGTTAATTTGGAACCCACTTAGATATTTCATTAATGCTTTTGCCAATTGAATTCTTTACTCTGAATATTTTAATCAATATAAATATATAAAGAAATAAATAGAGAAATATTATATTTACTAATAGGCATCATATCCTACAATTTGGCCCCGCTATTCAAGCGGGTAACGAACATCTTGTGCATCACATGGAAGTCTTTCATTGCGCCGGATCCGTGAATGTAGAAGTTCCAATGTACGATGGACCCTGTGACGGAGCAGATAGACCCGAAAAAACGCAGGTAGTTGTCTTCTCGTAAAGCAATGCCTACAGCAGATATCGCATATGTTGATAATTTAAAAAATTTTGCTTTTCTCACACCGTTAAAATAAAGAATCTGAACTACTTCGAACATTCTATTATTAAAATAAAGAATTTCATAAAGAAATCTTGACAATTAAAGAGTAACTTATTCATTTTATGATTTAAGTTATTAATCTATGTTTTCAATTACGAAATATATCATTGGTTAAAAAAAAAAAATTGAGTGCTCTTCTCTTGAGAATAAAATTAGTGTCTTCGATCGTGACTTACAAATTTAGCTCAGTTATTCATTTCAAATCACCTAGATCTGCAAGAAGGTGCTGGCAGCGTGGGCGATGGGTGCCGACGCATTTGTGTATCCGGAAGAAGCCGGTCTATCCATCGGTGGGGCCGATTTCAATCCGTATATCATGTTGGAGGTACATTACAATAATCCCGAGCTGCATCAAGGCGTCGTCGACTCCTCCGGAATCCGATTTGTTCTTACCACGACTCTCAGAAAGTATGACGCCGGTGTCATCGAGCTTGGTCTCGAGTACACCGATAAGATGGCCATACCCCCGCAACAGGTGAAAGAACTAATTGATTGATTTTTGAAAAATTTCTCGACTATAAGCGCATGCTGACGCACGTAATAAAACAGTTAAATCGAAACAATAAAGTTCGCATCGTAATTTTATACTTATTTTAATATCTTTTACGTAAAAATTATTTAAGTAAATATATTCTTTTTATTTCATACGTAAGTAATAAATGTAAATTCTTAACCCGATTAAATATATCTAAAATTCATTCATTGGATTTATCTCAAAAGTATGCGCTTATGACAATCTGCAAATCTCTTTTTAAAAAAAGAGACGAATTTTTGGATGCGTAATCTTCGAATTTAAAATCAAGCTCGTTTATTTTTTCAGGAAGCCTTTACGCTGTCCGGTCACTGCATAGCGGAATGCACCGGAGTAGGATTGCCTCAAAGTGGCATTCACATTTTCGGCTCTCAACTGCACACGCATCTGACGGGTACCAAAGTCATCACCCGTCATGTGAGGAACGGCGAAGAGTTGCCGCCGTTAAACTATGACAATCATTACTCCACTCATTTCCAGGAGATCAGACTGCTACCGAAACCGGTGACCATCCTGCCGGTAACAGAATTAGCTAAAGCAAACAGATATATAGAAATAAGGCAGATAATAAATAAGAGTGAATAAATTAAATAGTTAATTATGAATCACGTATATAAGTTAATAATAAAAAAACAGCTGTGTCCTTATTTAAAAAAATGAAATAATTTACAGGGAGATTCTCTGATAACTACATGCACTTACAACACTATGAAAAGAGATAACGTGACTCTTGGCGGCTTTGCTATATCCGACGAGATGTGTGTTAATTACATTCATTACTATCCCAATGCGCAATTAGAGGTAAACTAAATTTCTTAGTAAAATAAAGAAATAAGAAAGTAAGTAAATATATTCATTCGCACGGATCCCATTAGAAAAAAAAATTCGTATAACTGATCGCCATACGAATTTTTATGTTACAATTAGGTGTGCAAGAGTGCCATAAGCGACGACGCTCTGCGAACGTATTTCCGCTATATGCGAGAATGGGAAAGTCAAGGGACCAGTACGCAAAAGGGCATCTCGGCGAATTATAAGAGCATCGAGTGGACCAAGGTCCGCGTGGAGGCTCTTCACGATCTCTATGAAGCTGCGCCTTTAGGTTCGCAGTCGATACTTAAAAATCACGTGTATCTCCATTAATTTTGATTTATAATTCCATCAATTCTTGTATTCTAGAATTTTTGACAATTTGTTTTTAATTTTAATTTAATACAAGCGATATAGGAAAAAATGTTTTAAATTATTACCGATGAATTATTCTGAATACATCTGTAGCTCTACAATAATCTTCAATCTCTGTATCGTAAAATTCTCACTCCTCCCTTTCTCTTCTGCTCAACTGTCAATTAATTTATTAGGGATGCAGTGTAACGCCTCCGATGGTTCCCGGTTACCTGGCTTGTGGGATAATATCGCGGCCACACCCGTCAGATTGCCTTTGTCACCGCCAGCCAGGAATTGTCTGGAATCTTCAATACAGCAAGAGATCTCGGACCAGATGTGAATTACAATTGATTTTAATTAAAAATATAAGTTACTCAATCATTCCGTTGTGTGGATATTTTGAGGGAACAAACGAGTAATTAAAATTCCAATACAGAGCATATCAAATTTAGCGTTACCTGCTGCCTGCTGCTTCTTTGCAATCTTCTCTGAAAACGCGATGCTTATTCTTAAACTTGGCAGTGCTTCCTTTGATGATGCGCTACTTGATTATTAGATGTTTATACCATATGAAATTGAAACTTGACCAACGGCGTCCGGTCGAGGTGAAATGTAAAAAAATCCAGATCGATGTAAAAGTTTATAAACCTTCAGTATATTTATCCACTTTAAGTGTGTTTCTTCACTTTTTGGCAGTACAGTACGCATTTCGCTGCGAACAAGCTAGCTTGATCAAATCTTGTAACAAATAGTTGTGACGATAATTGTCTCATATATATATATATATGTGGAGTAATAATATTAATAATAACACAAATAATAGTCGAGGAAATTCGTTTTTACACTTCGTATCAATGTACAAAAAAAGGCGAACGTTCCTTAAAAACGATATCAAAATTAATCTTGGTATATATGCGGTATTTCTTTTTTTACGGTATAATACATACACGGGGGAAGGGAAGATAATACACGCATACAAATAAACAAGCACAAACACACACGCGGTTGCCTTCATACGCACGAGATACAATAGTTGCCTACTTTGTTCGAGCATAAACAATTTAATACTTCTTATGTCTTCGTTTTTTTTTTATCGAACACTCTCATCAGACTTGGCTCTTTTTTTTCGTTTTCTTTCTCTTTTATGTAATTTGTAAACTTTGTAGACGGTCTGGCATAATACGCAAGATACTCTGTACCGAGTTCCGTTAACTTGTATCGCTGAACTCGCGTGTTTGTGTTTTGTCTCTCGTTATCGACTATAGTATATTTTTCTACCATAGAATGTTCCAAAAATCGTCATTCATTAATCAAATTAGCAGTTTTGTAAAATAAAAAAAAGAAAATTTTCAGAATATATAAATATCTCTCTTTTCTGTCGAGAAAAGTAATTTTAAAGATAAAAAAAAAACTTTACTAAAAATTTACGGATTTAAAATAAGTTTTCTTTTAAAATAAGAAAAAGCAAAGGTTCTCGTGTAAGAATAAACTTATTCTGCTTCTTCAACTCTTTTCTTCGTAAAAAGATTGCCTTTTTCTTATGTATAAATTACGATTTTCGAGACACTCTACACATGTGGGAACGTACCTTTCTCTTTGGCATCTCATTAAGCTGCATTTAGACGGTAGTAAAAAAAGGATTCACATTAATCAAAATTACTGTCGAAAAATACCACTTTGACGGAATAAGGAGGGCTTCTTTCTTGCAGTCGTATGTCTTTTCGGGCCAAAACTCCGTGCTTCTTTGCGCGAAGATTCGATCTGTTGAATTCTTCTTAGAGAACTCGAGGAAACGGAATGGACGATTATTACATTATACGTGTATAACAGATTTTTGCACATTATGAGGAACGTCGTTCCCTGAATTCCGTAGAATCTCGAAGGAAGAACAAATCATTCGCTTTCTCTCTTTCTCATTCTCCCGAATGTTGTAATGTTTCTCCGCTATTGTATGAGTACACGAGAGTACAGTATCCATATTACTTAGGGCGATAGGTTGCTTCCTGCAACGGATATACAAAAGGGCTCGTATAAAAAGATTTAGATTCTCTGCTAGGAACACACGTCAAGTGAAAAAGTACTTATTTTCTAAAGCACAGACGCGCCAAATTGCATATCCCGTACACAAATTTCAGGCTTTAAAAACTTCGATCTCGGACTTTATACAATTATTTTACCTTTTTATTTTACCTTTTATTCTCTTTTAAAAAATTCTTACTCTTTAACTCTCTCTCTTTTTCTTTATAAATTTTCAAGACACTTTTAATATACAAAGATAATATAACAATTTTACCAATTTATTTCGACTTATCTCTTAATATTCTCTCTTTGGCCAATTTCTCACCTGAAATTTCTGCACCATTTCTTCTTTATCTCGAAAATCTCATTTTAGAAAAGATCATCAATTTGATTGCGCGCGAGCGACATTGTCAGCTCAGACAATATGAAGTAGAAAATATATTATGAACCTCAAAAGTAAAAAGATATATGTATATATATATATATTATTATTATTATTAATATTACGCTTTATATACGTTCTATAAGAGCAGCTTGGCTACATTATTTTGCACGCGTATGGAGTATAGGAGTTTTATCCTCCTAGGAAGTTTCATCAAAGCCACTCTATTCGCTTTAATATATTTCCAGGTTCTACTTCAGGATCGCGAAAAAGAGATACGTCACGCGAAACTACAAAAGAGACCAACGATACAAATGGATTACTTGTGCCAGCGCGCAATACAAAAGACATCTGACAGGTGTTTGAAGGACGGAAATTGGCGATTGTTTTCCTGACTTAATTTAATTAATTAAATATATTAATAAAAAGAATAAAAATAAAAATTCAGTCATTTCATTAAAATTCAATAAAACAAACTTTATATTGCATCTAACGCAAATAAAAAAAGTTTTAATTAAATGAAAAGTTTCTGACTTCATTAGCGTAGAAAATTATAAACCTTCATTTGATAAATGGAAGCATCCGTTACGTAAGTTATTTGTTATAAATGATGTGACACATTATGGCATAACAGAAATTACGTATCTTTGAAATTCAATAAATGGATTGATTGTAAGATTAAGTATATAACGATATCGATATGAATTACCGGGCTGTTCTTCAGACACCATTACATCGTCTTTTCGGCGTTTGCTTCGTCGGGAAGAAAAGAGTCGCGTTCCCGTTGCCAATTACCTACCGATCTCAAATCGAACAGCAGCGTTAATCGCGTTCAGGATCAGGGGAGTTTGTCGACTAGAGAGATTGATTGTTCTGTTGTTGCATGTGTAACTGCAGGAAGCAGTAGAGAATGCCAGCTTGCGCCATCACGTCGACGGTACCGGCAGCGAGAGGATCGCGGCTCTTGGCGTCGCTGCGCGAGTTACTGGTGCCGGGTCGCAGCAACGTGGGCCCGAACACTGTGGCCAGGTTATGCAGCGACATCTTGTTCTGTGCCTCATGCTTGTTCACACGGGCCAGGTGTGCCAGCAAGAAGTCGATCACCGCTTTGTTGACGGCAGGCAGGCCCTCGTAAACGCGGCGCAGGGCAGCGCCCCGCGATAAATCACTCGTTTGGAAGGCCTCCAGGAATGCCGGATAAAGAGCATCGGTGAATAGTGCCTCCGGCATCTCACGCAGATACAGCTTTAATACGCCCGTCACTGAGTGCACGTCCACCTGCGTCCATGTTCGCATACAGAAATATCAGCAATAAGAAAACATTTCTCTTGCTTATTACGGACGCGAGAAATGCTAGAAATGCAAACGTACCTCTTTAAGTAGCTGCTCCGCTTCGTATGAGTTGCTCTCGAACGACTTGCGTAGCCTCGCCACATCGGACGCCGAGCCAGAAACGCGATACAGACCTACCTCGCCGACGCCGCGTCTCTCCACCTCTCGCACGCATGCCGTTATTATGAAAGGCACATCGCGTTTCTCTCGTCTACAAAATCGCGAAACAGTATAATAATTACTAACGATTCCAATTAAAAATATCTTAGAATATTTCATAAATAAATCGTAAAATTCAGAGAAACTGTATTAAAAGGAAGTAAGAAACTTTCTGTTTATTTCAATTGCAGATTCTTTGTGATTTGAATATTTAGTTATTTTCTCTTAATTAAAATTCAATGGGAGAAAGAGAGAAGTCGGAAGCACACTTTTAATTGCCTAACTGTTTTGATTGAAATAAAATCGTGCGTACTTGCAAACTTGCTGGATCTTGGCGCCGAATAAACCCTGTGGCTTGGCCGACGGCACTCGCCTCAGAGTGACTTCGCTGGGAACAAAACGCAGTGCCACATCCAATGTCGCGGGTCCCAGGTTTAGCGACCTCTCCACCTGATCAGATTGGAGCCAAGATCTACTCAACCGTTGAATGCATTTGCCTCGCAATACTGAGCGTGTGCCGCATTCCTCGTATAACAAAATCCTAACGTTCTGGCTTCCTTCCAACTCTACCACAAAGGTCTCGCCTGTATCAAAGAAAAGAAAATTTAAGTGAAGTAGAAAACGTTAATATATTATCGTAATATAAAGAATTTAATGTTAAGCATGCATTACTTGTATTTAATAAGATTAATATCAAATTGTAGATTAATATCAAATAAAGCTTGTAAAACAGAAGAAGGTTTCTTACCCCAAATCGGAGCTTGACCTCTGGCGACGCGACTTCGCGCTCTCTTGAAATAATGTCCATAACTGTCGACTTCTACGATGATATAGAGATCACCCACTCTGTCTAAGCCTGGCGGAGTCAAACCGAGCAGCGTCAGATGAAGATCACCCAGCAGCAAGCTCTCGTCACGTCCTGATCTTAGCAGGTAGCTGCCCATGTCGGTCTGTAGATACGTCCGACAAGCGGTGACCCAAGCCTGCAGTTCGTACATCGACAATGGTAGCTGTCCCGGAGGCTGTCCGCCCTATAAAGTACCAGCAACATGAATTCTTCTATCAAATATAGTATAACAGACTGTAATATATTATTATATAGTAATGAGAGAATTAATTACCTGTTGTAACGCCTCTACCGCTTCTACCCATTGGGAGCGCTCAAACTCGCTGGACAGGAAGAAGGTGTAAGAGTTTTGTATTCGGTTCTGTTGACTTTTGTGCGCGACGCGCAGAACTAAGTTCGGCGAGGCTAATACAAGCTGAGCCTCAAGTTCGGCGAGTTTCTTGCGATTCTTCTCCGATCCTCTACCACCCAGTCGGATCCGCTTCTCATCATTTCGTTCTTCCCACAGAATTTGATCGCGTACTGTACACGCTTGTGACCTGTTCGATAATTTTCAAGTTATTTCTAATTTAATTAGATATTTAATATCAGACAAAAAAATTTGTTCGGCTTTTCCATTAGTATAATGTATTAGGGTATTATTTTGCTGACTAATGATTATCTAGTTTGATAACCGGTTGACTTTATAACGCGGTACTTTAACATTGATGACTAATCTGATAGCATATTTTTTACAATATTTTTTTACAATCGATGAACCACTACTCTTCGTCATTGATGATAAATATCGCGGCGGATTATAAGTGTTTTG